AGTAGTCCTAATAAAGGAATGGCAGCGGTGCAGACTCCATTCGAATATCCTGAAGACTACATGTTGTGCTTTCGCATTTGTTTACTGTTGTTGGTTGGAATTTTGCAGTTGCAGGCAAGCAGGCAGGGTTTATTAACCACGTTCGTAATCTTAGTTAGGAAATGCAAACCGGAATGCCTGCTCATAGTCTTTACTTTTCGCTTGCTAAGCTCGAGGACTAAAGACCACTACGCCGTGAAGCGGCGTAGCCCGCGACTATGTACGTCATTACTAATGTTCACGCAGCACACTAAACAAAAGACCAAGAACAGATACCGTCACGCACACACAAACACACAACTCTATCTGGTCCATGCAGCCAAAGGAACGCCGGCACTGTAATAAACGAAGATACACACGAGAAAGCGTCCTGGTGGAAAAACGCACCGAACATGCAACGGTTCAGCAATTCACAGCCACAGTTCTGTTTCTGCAAAGTCGACCTTCTGCTCCTAGCATTTAAAGTCCACTGAGCTGATTTTCTAATAGCGAATTACCTCATTATAGCCCGGAAGAAAAACGCTGAACGTCCACCTGCATAGGTGTTCCCGTTCTTCTAGCATCGCGTTCTTCCACGAAACTCGCGCCTCAGCCAGACAGAAACTGGCTTGTCACACCACTATTCGGCCTGTGCATGCGCAACGCTTTTGTTACAGGAACCCATGTACCGACCGGCCAGGTAAAAAGGTGGTCTCTGCATCGGCTCACAGCGAAACCGAATTCGCCAGCCGTCTGTAGTATCGTCAGTACAGACAGATTTAGCAAATGCTCACATGTTGCTGAAAAAAGCAATGATCAAGCACAGTGGCTGCCTCAACCAATCCACACAAGTCAATATTAATGAGATCGCATGGCAGAAAGAGCGACGCTGACGCGATGCCGCATGTGGCATAAAAGTTGCGATATTTGATGCATCAGTACTTGCGTGCACTGCGATCCCTGGCATTTCCGCTATTATGAATGCGACAGGAACATGTCTAGAATGTAATTCGGATGACCAAGGGGCGGTTTTGAGCAGGAGCATGTAGGCCAGTCATTTCCTATTCCAGCGCAAGCTGCAAAGCTGCTTCTCAGTGTATCCTAGTGTAAGTACAAGGCGCACTCTGCTCGGCTCACTGAGCCGGAGACGACCTATCCAGCAAAGGCACCATGTTGCGTGGAATATGAACTATTATAGGGTATGAACGAGATACCCAGATGCAGATTAAAAAATGGCGACGCTCGGCGCTGTGACGACGCTAGCGCACCGCAATGCCATGTCGGTAGACTCTTGCCGGACTTGTTATATGAGAAGACAGAAATATTGTTGAGGAAAAAGGTGTTGCGTCTGCATTCGAAGTAAATTTACTCTGCCTGGTAGCTTGAACTGAAGAAGGATTAACAGGGATCGCTGTTGGCCAGAAAGGTTTGTGGATGCGCTTCAGCTAAGTCGTGAAACCGGTATTTCCAGGTAGAAATGGATTGTAAACGAACAAGCAATTTGAAGATAATACAGAAGTGGAAGAAATGAGGATCGCATGACCTTTTGGTTTCGTAGGACGATGTATACGTGACTGTCGAATTCGCTGAGGCCCTTCGAAGAAGGTCGAGTGGATGCAGCGTCGAAAGTGCTTCACGCGCTGATTGCTACTATTTTCGGACAGAAACAACTCTCAAATTGGGTCATTAGAGTGCAGGGTCTCGAGTTCACTGCTGCGATATCTTTTTGTGCACGCTCTTGCGTGTGCATCTGCGCGCTTCCTGCAAGGGGCCAGTTAGCAAATAATGTTTATAACCGTGAGCAGATTCAGTAGTTTTTCAGCAGTCCCTCCGGTAGAGCCAACGCACTTGTTTGGTCAGTTCTATGAGTATCGGTCGCGGTGGGTGGAGAAAGCCTGGGTCCCCATAAGGAGAACTGTCGCTAGCATGGAGCCAAAATATCAAGCAAAAGCGAGTTTATCAAAGATCTCCACAGAGTTGAGCTGCTTTGCTCGGCTTCAGTTCTCAGCAAAAGTAGAATCGGCCCATAAGCACCAATTTATTCGCGCAAGTTCGGTCTAGAGGGACCCAATTAAGCGTTCTGAGAAACACCGCTGCACCAGGCAACTTCTCCAATATTGTTAGTATTCGTGGCAGGGACATAATCCGTTCGCTAGGAAGCATCAAGAGTATGGGTACTATGTTGCGCCAATGTGCGATGAAATTTTATGTGAAATTCGTACCGCCGTCTCTGCGGTTTGGCGATACCTCTTGCAATCTCTCCATACCGTCTTTCGTAGACACCGCCAGGGTGGAACCTTACCAGAGCGTCGAGGTGGTGGCTGGGGAAGAAGATGGAGGAGCTAATTCCGGCAAGCGGTAATATTACCATAATGGAATAAACAGAAGATTGCGGCCTGCCAGCATCCTCAGCGTCACAGAAAGCGTAGTAGCATTTTCAATGCAGTTCAATCAACGGGAGTTTATAGCCACATTTGAAAAGTTTGGAAGTGGCAAGACACTTTTGCACACGTTCACGCTTTCAGTTATACCGTTACCTGCCAACAAATTCTTGGTTGGGTTTCATGAACCTTCGCGGAGCCTAAACTGAGTGTATTGATAAGAACTGCTGCAGACGCGACCATCTCACAGTCTCGAAAAATTACCTTTTGGGTAAGCTTTGCGGCGTTGTCAAAACAGAAAGTATAAAACTTTACGAACAAAGTCCGTTACTTGCGATTCAGGAGGGAGCTCGCATGGAGTCTTAGCCAGAATGTCAACTAAAATGATGCTGTCCGATTCATCCACATCGCCGTCAAAACCCTTAATTGGGCAGCACGAGTGGTGCGTGCCAGGTTCACGCTCTGGTGTTCCTGCTTTCTTCGATTACGCTAGCCTGCGTAGACTGGTGAAAACGCTCATCTCTATTGGCCCCTGGAGTATATTTGGTTTGTTCTGCTTCCTCTTAATTCATAGGTTAGTTAAGCGTTCCAGTGTCAGTTTAACAGTGCGCAACTGTTCAATGGAGAGGCGCTGCACAGGACCATGGGGTATCTCCGTGGCTTGCTGGTTGCCTTAAAGTAAGGGCCACTGGGAGGATGTGCACGATAATCGGTTATGGCTAGCGTCGGAATTTGGTGCAAGCCTGCATGGCCTTATTTGCTTGATTGCGCGAGATGCTGTGTCGCAGCAGTCTCCCCGCTTTGTTTGGCCATTACGTATGATTCAAGAGTGCTGCAGAGGGCATCAAAGATCTGTAGGGCAATGTCACCATCTGGTGCACCAATGGTAAATATAACTTCATCTGGTTCGTGAGGAGGGTTAGTCGACCACAGAGAACGAAGCCAGGTGCACTGTAATCTTGAAGAAAGCCGTGAATTCGCATCCACAGAATTCCTATGGCTTACGAAAGCCCGTCGTCGACAGAAAGCTTGACAGCGCAACGGGAACCAAGGAAAGGAATGTTCACTGCGGCCGCTGCGTCGAAGTGAGCAATCATCTGAGATCTGAATGTTCGTAATTTCTCCTGCCAACTTGCCTTTCTTACAATGCGTCCTGTGGCTTCGCCGTGACGGTGGGTCTAGTCGGGTGCAAGCTTGTTCTACTTCGACAATTGAGATGGCCTTATCGAGCCTCATTGCATTCTGATCATCTGCATGGCATGCCTGGACGGAGGGAAGACCGAGAACGATGCTGTATGCACTATTGTTGCAGTGAAGTCCTAGACTATCTTTTAAGGCCTGGACGACGCTCTGTTTCGCAGTAGCGTGGGAAAGGTACGCCTTATAAGCTGCCGAAAAGTTACGAAGGACCTTGTCAGGCAATCTGAGTTTATTAGCAACTTTTATTTGTACTACACAAAGGCTTGCTTGCTCGTTGAATGGCTTCTGAGGCTTCGCTGCGGAATTGTCAGTGCCCTCATGGGCATACGAAGCTTCTTTTTTCCCCCTATACCTTAAAAATAAATCTTTCTGGGCAAGTAGAGCACCGAGCAAAAAAGCTGGCATCTTGACCGAACATTCTCGAATGTCTTCTTTCCGGCATACCCACTGTGGGTGTCCATCACACAGGCATACCAGAAAATCAGATGTCACCAGCAAGTAGTCTTTCGCTTGAGTTTTTGCGCCTTCCTCAAAATGCCTTCGCCTGCGGGAATGTGTTATTCTGCTTTGGGGGAGAGGGAAAGCTGCAATTCCCGGTTGTAACATCGCCTCCACAAGATTTTTCTTGGTGCCTGTCTCCAGTAAAGTCATTGCACGGGCTGTGTGGGGTCCATACTGCAAAACTGTCATCTGCGGGGGAAACACGCGACGTGGCCGAATTTTTTCTATGACTGGCTTGTGACGAAGAGCACAGCTAACCCCTGCAGCTGCAGCTGTGACAAAAATAAGCGTAGCGACTGCCGGCGATCCAAAAAGAAACGCTAACCGTTGAATGACGCCCTTTAAGAATCCCCCTACACCAGATTCGACTTCTCGTCGCGTTATGAATTGCTTCAGTGTTAGTATGGATCCTCCAACGAGCTGGAGAGACCCGAAAAAGCCAGCCGAAATGCCGTCGAGAAAGGATTCTGGACGTTCAATGCGCGAGCGAGGCACTCTTACAGACTCGGGCCAAGCAGACAGAATAGCTGCAACATCCGTAATACCTAGCAACTTCGAAAGCTTTATAAAGCCTGCAGCTATGTTGCTGACGGAAGCGAAGAACTCGCTAGCGAAGTTCAGTACCAGCGTTGATAGACAGTGGACAAGCTTCCATGTCTTTCCATCGAAGCTTGAAATCTCTGAAGGCACCACATTTGTTTTCTGTCACGACCTTGGTGCAGAAAAAAGTAAATAACAAGGAAACACTGTTTTCTAACTGGCAAAATCACGCAGTTATTACACATGATGCATTGTTTCTGCATTTGCATGTCGTTGCCCCGCTGAAGGCGCTGAAAGGAATTTCCCCTTCTCCTGCAAAATAAATAAACTCTCTTTATCCAAATGCGCGCATATATATGGTCAGGCAATAAGCGTACCTTCGGAGTGATGTGCAGTGGCGATCCTTAAGCTGGAAGACACTCCAGTGATAAGGCGCAGAGGATTCCCAATGACGTCTATTGACGCCAGAAGTTTGTGAAGCTGCCAAATGCACTGCTGAATATAAGAGTATGCTATATCAGCAGCTAGCTGCTCTCCATTGGTAAAAACACACTGCTGGACAAAAAGGCGGGCTTTCAACGGGAAGTTTGTAATGTCGGTCATCCGGTCCCCAACAACTTCGAATTGGCGCATAGCTAAGAAATCTTCATGACCCCTGGTTATATGTCCCTGCTGCACTCGCTGAGAGCGAGTCGACAAAATGAGGAGAATAGGCCGAATGGCAAGTGCACGAATGTAGAGCGGTTTCATGCTGCTAGCTATGGGAACTCTTGCTTCTGGAAATGCCCGCAGCTGTTGGTAGCCAGAGGTGTCTGGTCTGTTGGCAGCTGCCTCTCGCACTAACTGCACGTTGCGTTCCTGTAGCGACACAATGAAAAAGGTACGGTTTTGGAGAAGCTGCATCAGAAAGCGCATGAGCACGTAGGTGGTATCCGCTTCTACATGTACTGCTATGGGCGCAAGTTCTATATCAAGATAATCCAAGAGAGTCGCCTCTTTTTTCCACTGGCCACCGAGCTGAAGCCGAAAAAACAAATTCGGCTCTTCCTTTTCGCTCTCTTCGAATGAGTTCCAAGTTATCAAGGGCTTAATAACAGACTGAAGCAAGCCTTCAGACGCCCCAGTGGCAACTGAGCCATCTGCTGTGTGGCTTGAACTGCCTTCGCCGTGCAGCTCAACTCTTTCTTCAGGAGTGGCATGCCTCAGGATCGTACGATGCTGAGCACCAGGAACGCCATTGTCTACCTGAAGGACCTCTACTGACATACGGAAATCCTGCATAGAAGCTTTATGGAGCCGCCTTAACTCAACAGAAATGCCCGTACAACCGAAAAAGGCGAGTTCCTGGGGAGTTGAGTCAACCAGCGAGATACCTACACCTCGCACAAAAACTCCCACGTAGAATCCAATCTCCGTAAAGGTGCTCTTTCCCGATGGCACTGCCCTTTGGTTCATTTCACTGGAAGATGATGAGCCTAAAAGCTCATGCGTCATGCCATGGCTGCGTCTGCCCTTCGCAGTACACTTGATAGCGCTTCGGACGCCACGACTTGTCGAGTTTCCACCAGTGCTCCTAGCTCTTAAATTAAAAATTTTCTTCCCACGCCTCCTAATTCTTTCGTTTTCTTCAGTACTTTTAGACATTGCGGATTCGCTCACTGCATTTGTCTGCACACGACCGTCAATTTCTTCAAAGAGGGAAGACGCTAAAGAGCTCTCTCCACTAGAAGCTGGACTGCCGCTTGAAACGGTAAAGTTTGACTCCTTTGTCCCCATCTGCTGGAATCTCAACTTTTTTTTGGGAGACAGTGTCCCCTTGTGGGTCATTTTTGAACTGTTTCTTGCTGAAGTGCTTTCCAGATGTCTTGTCCTTCTTTGTGTCGCAAGTGCTGTATCTTCTGTTTTTCCACATGGATGATTGGCACTTTCATTGCTGCATTGCGATTTCAGAACGACAGCCTGCGAAGGCCGATGTGAGGCCGCAGTAAACGATTGGTCTTGTCTTGGGACTTCTGCCGGCACAGCGTGCAAAGGAAGAAAGGCTTTCTTCCTGGGTAAACCTGGCCCTCTCGTGTCCGCGTCTTTCCAGATTCTTTGTTTTTTTCTGTTTCGCCGAATTCTAAAGATGTCATGCTGAAGACTTCTCCACACATTACGCGCAGCTGAAGATGTGTTTATTGTACCTTGCGGAGCATCATGTGTAATAGTCACCCTCCTTCGGCTGCCGGATACTTCTGTAACAAAATATATTTTTTCCTTCGAGCTCAGTAAGGTGAGAGGACGGTGAGCGCGAACTCGCGCGATGTCACACGTCTTTACCACCTTCTGGCCTTGATCCCGAAAGGAAAATCTTAGAAACTTTCTTTCTCGTTGTGGTTCAGTCCATGCGTACTCTACTTGCTGCCCTCTCTCAAGAATCTCCCATACGCTTTTACTGCGAAGACCGCTTTGGGCAAAAGCAATTATATGATTGGTATTATTCACCAACAGATATTCAGATGCAACGGGCTCACTGAATACCACCACGAATGAAGCGCTCTCTAGTGACCGGATCTGTACTTGAATGTTGTGATATTCCCACGATAGTGCCCTGCCTTCTTTGACAAGTAATCGTTGACCTGCTTGCGGGCCGGTGTTTCCGAAGGGGTTAGGCGCAGTCTGCATCGGTTTCTTGACTCGAATTTGAAAGGACGCGCTGCGGGCTACTGTCAGCTGAGCCGACCACACAGCCTTTTCTATGGTCTGTGCCTTTGACTCGCCGTCGCAAGGCGAGTTTGCCACTTCTGAAGTTGCTGCTTTCCGCAAAAGAGATTCAATTGCAACAGGGTCAGTTTTCGTGATGCATATAAGGGCTTCGCCTCGGGGTCCTAATGCCTCAGGGTGAAATGGTATTTGGAACCCTGGTGAAAGCCGAAGGGGCCTTGCGGAGCCACTGCTCTCTCGAACCCAAATTTCACAAGGGAGGCAATTCTTCAACACAAAACGGCTATGGATGCTAATTACTCTGGAGCGGGAGAACGGAGGAGGAGCCAGAGCCGCTGTTACTCCGAAGTGGAAACACTTTTTGCTTTTCTGCTTGAACAGCGCCTTCTTTGGAACTTGTGTTGGTACAGAAACAGCAGTCGGACGCCCAACAGTATCCGCACGAAATGCTGGACACAGCTTCGCGACTGGCGCCTTCCTTGAACGTGCAGCTCGTATATCTTCAGCCAGAGCACCACTGCTGAAGTCTTTATGCGAAGAAAAGTGAGTAGCTTCTTCATCAGGAGCGACACCAAGGGCAAGGTATGCCTTTCCCTCTGAAGGTACTCCCAAAAGCCTCCAGTCGAAAGGGGACATGAACTGAATAGGACGGTGGCAATAAGATACAAAAAGGGCTTCTGGTTGTCGATTGACCAGCCAAAAGGGTGCGAAAATTCGAATGGTTCGAACGCATGTGCTCCACATGTGCCTTTTTATATTTGTCAGAGCTCCATGCTCACATGGTAGTGAGCCTCCTTCGCACGAAGCCGTCCCTAAAGAAGCGATGCTCTGTTGAGCCCAACCAACCACCTCAGCTTGGACACAAAACTCTGGTGGTTGGTGCCTAGACAGGTGACGGTACATAGCTGAATGCTGTTGAATTCTGCTTCCTGAACTGTCCAGTATGCGGGTTCGCGCAAGACATATTGTAAGATCCAACGCGCTAGCAGGGGCGGCTGCAAGGCAGTCTATTAGGAGGGGTTTGGAAACATAAATATGGCGGTACTCTCCTTCGCCTGACGTAGTCTCGAGCTCGAAGACAAAGCCGCTAGCAGCACACTGTACGTCAATATCTCCTCCAGCGGCGATTTCTGTAGAAGACAGAAGCCGTTCTTCATTGTCAGGAATCGCAATCCCTGCGGGAGAGACGGGCTGGCACTGAAGCTTATAACTAATGCTCGGGATGATGGACACGCGAAGACTCTCGAAAAGGCGATTTCCTAGCTGCTCAGCAAACATATGCAAATTGCATGGTTCCATAGTTTAAAAATGCATTCGTAGCTTGAAGGCCATTTATTTGCTGTGCAATAAAAAGTGAAAGACTCACACTAATAGGCATATTCAGGGCCACTTCAAAGAAAAGAGGGTCTGTTTCAGACAATAAATCCCGTGATTGGCCATAGACAGTCACGGCAATAGCAGTGGAGACAGGGTAATTGACGTCTTCGCCATTGATATCAGCTTGACTGGAATTATCCCATTTCCCTTTGTTGGTCTCGCTCGAAGAATCCGCATCAATTTTTTCTGCTGGCATAGCTCTGTGCAGAAACTCCAGTACCTGGGGCCGGCAGTCATAGGAAGTAACGCTGTGACTCGCTGCCAGTGCAATTTGTTGAAGGGTGGCTTGGTGCAGAAGCGGTTGGGCTCCTAGAGATACAGCGAGCGCGTAGAACTGGTGGTAGCTCTGAACAAAAAAGGTATTCGAAAAACAACGGCTTTGACCTGAGAAAATCATCCCCGCAAAGGTATTTCCGTTTTCCTTAGAATAATGCTCATTGCTGTACAGGCTCTAGCGTGCTTCAACAAAAGCGAAAAAGGGATGCCCAAAAGTGCTAAAGGGCAAAGCAATAGCGCTAGTAACACCAAAGAGGGGACGGCGAAATTGCTGAGGGAGTTAGTATAGATGTAAGGTGCCAACGTAAATTGTGGAGTGGTTCGCAGAATTGTGTAAGCATCAGTCAGGGTTCACTCGCTGCGATGCAGAAGCGACGCTGCGGTACGTGCATTAATAAGAAAATATGCGCTGCCCAGCTTTTGATATTTTGCTTACATGGGCTTCCATTCCATCCGCATCATTGTCTGGGGCCCTCGGCTGCCCGTTGGAATTAGGCCGAGGAAGGAAATGCTGCTTTTGTGATCTCACCGTGCAACGTTCCGTGTTGAAAGCAGCCGCTCGCGGCAGCCCTCCACTGCATTTGCGAGATTCGCAGACACCCAGGTATTTGTCAATTTGATCGTTGTCTACTGTAGATGACGCAGCAGTGAGGCAAGGTGAAGGGATCACAAGCAGGGGCTCGACAGCCATGTCGTCCCTCCACCTTTCCGTTATTCCTGTGTACAAATTTGTTGTAGCTTGAGCTTCATCCGACAGCGGTTGCTGTAAGCCGCGAGTCCCTGAAACCATTCCATTTGTCTTGACGCTTGCTGATGGAGTGGTTGCACTCTTCGCTTGCTCCGCCACGTTTTTGTGCCTCCAGAAGAACGAAGAAGTCGTGGTTTCTGGCCTGTTGATGTACGAGTAATCTTCTTGCATGACTGCAGGTTTGGGAGGAGAAGACAATTGAGGACCCTTTACTGAGTAGCAACGTGGTTCCGGAAAAATGTTGGCAAGCAGTTTATCTAGCCCCAGCGAGAGATGCCCATGAGCAACAGCTGCCCGTGGTAAAATCCATGACACGGGAATGTTCCCGATACCTCCGTGAGCTTGAATGAATAAAGGAGAACACGCAGGAATCCGTATGGCTTCGCGTACAGCCCTTCCATCAGGCGAAGGTGAAGACCTCGAGGCGCTGCCACAGCTAGCTTCTGAATTTAAGTGATAAGCTATTTCATGCATGGTAGACTTTTCAGATTGGTCAAGTGGTAGAGAATCAATTTTCACCGAGGAACTCCCAGGAACTAAGAGATGTTTGTTGCTACTAGTACAAGGAGGTGCACTTGTAGATGCTGAGGGATCTTCTGTTGTTCTAACGCTTCGTATTGTATCAGTAGAGTAGCACGAGAAGCCAGCAGATAAGCTCCCGGTAGGCGTTTCCAGGACCGCCACGGCTGGGTGGGGGAAGACCTGCAACAAGATTATAGTCACCATCTACTGCAATGGCGTTTCCTTCAGTCATTATTAATGACTATTCTCTAATGATATGATCGTGCAAAACGAGTAAATGCTGTTTATATCAGACTGGCCTGTGGTCGAGGTGGCAGTGTGACTCTGTTTATTTGTAAAGGGACTGGCGAGCAGGGTTGGGCATGGGGAAGGTAGTGCGGCTGAAAAACATGTGTATTACGAGAATGTCTTTTGACAACGAACGCACCAGGACAGGTGTAGGTAGGTTATTTCGAATGGAGATTGTCGATGAGAAATACGTATTAAAGGTTCTGCTGCTTTGTATGAATACTGTTTTGATAAGAATGCGAACAGAAGAGTGCAGCAACTCGTGACGTATCTTTTTCCGTGCATCCCTAGGAATTTGATGATTTAAAGGAGCCGGTATCGTTAACGGTAGCTCGCGGATCGAAACGTGGCTGCCGTCGAGGTTAAAATCGTTTATTTCAAATGCTGATCCCATAATGAGCACACGAACGACCACCTTCCTCGTCTGGCCCTGCAGGCACAACACCAGAGGGGTTTCTGCCGAGACTTGTGCTGAACTAATGTAGTTCTTAATGAAAGCCGCGGGGACAGGGGAAACTTACATGGTCATCTAGAGGTACACGAAAGCTTTCCTCATGGCGTAGAAGTCTCCAGCCTTGAGTTCCTTCGTCGGCCATTGCTGGGGATCCGAGCAAGGCACTTTTGTTGTCAGGAGAGGCCACAGAAGTGCAGAAGCTGCGGTCTTTGCCGACAAGACAGTCTCCAGCGTATGCCGATGCTCCTTCTTTGGGCCCATTAGCAGGATTGGATGCCGTTTCTACAAGTTCCGCCAGAGCCTTTCGACGATGAACACCAAAGTCATCCGTTACAAGGTGGTTAGCCAATGTCAGAGAGTTGCTATTTTCTCCCTGTGCTTCTACTGTACGCTTTTCCCGACTCGTTACATGAACAAATAGAGGCAACCCAGTGAGGTTTACTCTGGAGAGCAGCAATCAGCAAAGTTGCTCGGACATCATCATTACTAGGCAGCAAGCAGGCAAAGCGTTGTCAGCATCATCTCGGCAGTATGAGAGGTCATGAATAGTAGTGATACCTACAGTAAGGGCAAAGGCTGATCTTCCGCGAGGATTGTATCGTGGGAATGATTTCGCGGTGTCTTCGAGGAGTACCGGATAGCTTCGCGAAAACGAGCAAGCCTGCCTCCACCGTTTTCAGCCTCCGTTTTTTCCAGTTCATTTTTAAACTTGTTCGCTGATTCATTATCATCAAGCTGTGGCAAAGAGGAATCTGCAGGGCTAGAGGTTTTGACAAAGGGTTGGCTGTTCTCACTGTGTTCTTGACTGGCGCCTGTTTCACCTCTGCTGCTACGTTCAATTATTGTTTGCATAATCTGCGTATTCGAGAGGAAGTCAGCGCCAGTTAGTCCTACGCTCCTCGTGGGAAAATCCGTGCTTTTTGTGTCACTTTTGGAATGCAGAAGAAAGCCTGTTGGCAAACGCCAAATTGTGCCTGGACGAGCGTGCTCGTTCCATGGTGAACTGGAACGTGATTGAGCAGGGCAAACAAACTAGCAAGCATAATGGTAAAAGCGAGTGAAGTTGGTGAAGTGACGATGCTTCAGTGCCCCAAACGCCACGCTAGCAGGACTCAAAATCAGGAGCTCGAGTTGCCGGTAGTTCGCGAGCAAATATTGCGAACTTACTAGAAGAAGCACTGCCTTCAAGAGCGGCACGCAGACGTTGCTGCCTGTTCAGAAGAGGCAGCATGATTGGATTGTATTATATTGCAGATTTCAGCAAACACGTAACGAGCTGAAGGAGAAAACTATTGCGCCTGAGCACTGGTTAACGAGTGTACCTTACTTGTTAAGTTGCTCCTGGAGAGTACGTTGAGCTGCCTCTATGAGATTTGCAGTATCCAAGATTGAATCCATAAGGAAAGGAGCCGTGGTCACATTTATCCAGGTGCAGCCCACTTCTGCGCAAAGTTCCGTTCCGTATTTGCCCCAAATTTTGGCGACTTTCTGGAGGTTCTCGATGCGTTCACTTGCGTGTTGATAATAGGGAGCTTGCGCATGGTGACTATCCAAAGTCTCAGAATTGTCGGGAACGTCCATCAAAAGCAATGCGGATTTTCTGTTTTGCATGCTGTTTGGCTTGGTGTTCCTCCTAAAACGAGAGCTACGCAGCCGTCTGCTCTCCACTGTGGGACCCTTCTTCTGGGTTCCAGAAGTCCGTACAGATCGTGTTCGGTGCAGCACTGTAGGCCTATCTCTACAATAGAGTGTGCTTCTTTCTTCAGGAGGACACGCTGGTAACAGCTTCAACAGAAGATCTGCTGGAGTCTGCGCAGTAGGAGCAAACATGACTCATGTACTCTCACAAGCCATGCATCAAGCCACGAGGCAAATTCCCTTTGTTGACAATGCTAAGTATGACGACGTACGTATCGAATTTTCAAAGTGCACAACCATGGTTCTAGGACAGACTCCAGAGCGATTCGTTCCTTGTGTAGGGCCTCCGCGGAAAGAATAAGACTAATGCCAAAAGAGAAGCCTTTCTGGTCCTCCAAAACTGTCCGGCGTTCTTCTAAAGAAGGGAGAAGAGTCCCAGACGAAGCATTGGAAAATGCTAAGCCACGGGACTTCCTTATTTCTGGCCGCCTATGGTTACCTGGAGCAACAGCGTCGGAAGAGGAAGCTTTCACAACAAGTCGGCCACACAGCGAGCTTTGCCGGAGTTGTTTTGCGTTTCTAGCGCCATTCAAGTGGGATGGCTTTTCCAGTTTTGATTTCTGGTGGTAGAGCTCTGGAGACGATGGACGCCTGCAGCAGGTTGAAGGGCGGAATTAACAGGCAGTTTTGAATTTTTGTTCTTGATTGCAGAGCTTCCAACCACAATAGAAGACTGACTCACCCCAAGCAAGCAGTTAAGGGGGGAAGTTGCCGAAGGATTTACCACTGCAGACGGTGGCTGAACGTAAAGTGAAAAGTGCATAGTAGCTAGGGGATACTGCAGGACTCACTCCAGAGCAGAATATATTTCCATGTCCTCCACTGTGAAATGTAGAGATGGGCTTTCCAGCTGGATGCATTCCATCTTGAGTTTCACATTCAGAGCAGCATTTAGTTTGTTTAGTGATTCCCAAATCCACGCCAAGACATTCGTTGTTTCTTTGTTATCTCCTGTGGTATATTCAAGGGGTGCGTCATTCAGTTGTTGCCCTTTGCTCGTGCAATTGGTTTCCTTAATTCGTAAATCTCTTAAGCCGCCTACGGGCCTGCAGTTGAAGCCATTACCGGCGCCTCCTGGTATTTTCCTGTCAAATAAACTGGAGGGTAGGCTGCTCCCAGATTCTGCTGTTTTGAAAGACAGCTGAAGACTTCCATCACACGAGGGCAATGAATCCACAAGAAAATAGCTGTTTCCCGGCATCATGCAGTTTGCGTGAGACGCAGGGCGATCAATATTGGGGAAATGCTCTTCTCCATTCACTGCTGGCGTCGCGACGTCAGCAGGAGACCCACCTATTCGGCAAACACCACCTGATTGTTTCATTGTACCACCACTTCGCGAGTCTTTTGAACAGTCTTTGGGTCCTTTCGCTTCTAGAGCTTCCGTAGAATTTGGGAGAAAGTACTTCTGTAACAGCTGAAACAAAGAGACTGCACCGACGACTACGGAAGGCTCCAAGTTTACCTGTGATTAGACAGCACACGGCACTACAATATCCAGCTCCAATTTCGTCACTAGTAGATATGCAAAGTGCAGCTCTTTTCGTTTGCTGCAGCTTTTAAAAGTTTACTTTTTCGATAACGTCATATATTTGTTGCTAATGGCCATACTTACTATCAGCGGGTCGAGCTCCAAAAGCAAATCCCCTGCACTTTCGGAACGCTCAGATGTCCGTGACTGGCGAAGTGTGCACCGCACTTTGGAGGAAGCTGACTGCAGACTATTAACATAGCCCTCAGGCGTATCGTTCGGCATGCAGTCCGCTGCATGCTGGCGTACTTGGCTTTGCACGGCAGCGCCACTTTTGCTGCTCGGCCTTTCAAAAGATTTGTAAGACGCTGTTATTATGCAACGGCAGCCATCAACAATACTTTGTTTGCGCACAAGTAACTGACTGTGGGCAGAGGCTCTGCCTTTACGGCGAAATTCCAGATTGGCTCGGAAGCCTCTGCTTTGGTGCGTGGTGTTTGTTGTCGGGAGCTCCAGCACGGAATTCGTGACCATTTGAGATACAGTTGAAGCGCCAGACCACCCCTCTCTGTTTTTGTCATACAAGCTCTTCGCAATTTGCTGGCTGTCGAGAAGTGTTAGCTGGGAAGCTTCCTGATTGGCGAATCCAGGAGGTCTCAAGCAACCTCCCCGGGCAGGAAAACTTTGAATATCAAATTCTGAGAAGCCCTTCGTCTTCTTCCAGCTCTCAACTAGCTCAGAAAACCCCTTTGGATTCTGGAAATCACCTTGCCCTTGCAGCATCTCTGCACGAATTTGGTAGACGCTTCCAACGAGCCTCATGCATTTTTTTATTCCTGCTGTTCCGGCTACTTTGTCTTGAGGACCTTCAGCGTTTTCTAAGCAGGAACCTTCTTTAGGCACGCTTACCAAGCGGCATTCTGAATAAAAAGAGACCGCCGCTGAGCATGAAACGACGCAAATGGGGGGGGCTAAAGTTACTAACGGTTCGAGCAAATCCACCATCCCCGGCCTTAATGCTCTCTCCGTTCCAAATTTTCCGTTCATCCTGCTTTTCTTGAATGCGGTGGCCGAAATAGCCATGGTTTTCAAAGGATCTGGTGCAGTGAAACTTAAAAGTCGCTCTGGCTTATCTGGGGAATGAGCCTGCGTCTTTTTCTTTACTTCAGATTCCTCCCCAAAACGCTTTGTAGCTGTACCGTGCCGCTGCGAAAAACTTGGAGTCCGTTCCGTCCACGCCAAGCCATCATCACTACAGAACATCTGTGCTAAAGAAATGTCGGGAAATGGCGAAGGCGTACTCACGGGAAGGATCAATTCACAGTGACTTAGGATAATACTTACACGGGCTCTCCATGGTAGTTCATCACCGTTTTGCCTAATCAGGGTGGCGTCCAAGCTACCGCCATCCCACCTAGTGCCTGCTTCGGTCTCCTCCTTCTCCTCCTTACGCCTTAGACCAGCGATAGTTGTACCTTCCTCTGCAGAAGTTTGAAGGAACTGCTGAACATGATTTTCGCATGCTGAAACTGCGGATAAGTCTCTCGCGGGCGCTGATGATCCGGACAAAAAAGACGCAGCATAGGCTTCACTGGCTTGACTGATCATTTCTTTAGTAATGCCTGAGTTATAAAGAACAACATTTCCGTTGCTATATACAATGGAATCGCAGCAAAAGTAAATAGTTGTGTCCTTTCTCCATCACTTTCACCTACCAAGTAGTCCTGAGAGCACCTCCCAATCCAGCGTGAGCCTGAGCGGGCTGCAGCGGATATCGACAGAACACAGTAGCGCTTTCAGGCATAGCGAAGCCTCAACAGAAACAGCGGGAGCTTTGGCAGTGAGCGCCTGCCATGTCCTCGTCGGCGCTAGTGCAGCATGCAAATATGCTGGCACGAGAAAGCATCGTCCTCCAGACAAATCTTCAACCAAGACTTCTTCTTCTGCAGCCTCACTGCTATGAATATCAAAAGAGGATGAATTACGGCTATAGTATGAATTTCCTTCAGCCTCCTCAACTGGTTGCTTCCATGGCTGTGACAGGGTCCTAGCAGGGGTAGCCGTGTTCCCAGCCTCGTATCCAGAAGCTTGTGTGTGTACCTTAGAAGGCAACTGATCTGCATACGAAGGACTTGCTTCCGCAGTTTCCATTCCGGGGAACGGGGGTGGGAACATCCACCGGGTAGTTAGCCTCACCCTTTCGCTGCGTAGTGCCTTTTGTAAGGCCAGTATTGCGGCAGGATGAAGCTTTTCCTTAGAAGAGGAACTATTGTAAGAAGCTGCAGCCTGAACTAATGCAGCCGCTATATCACCCGCATCGTCTTCAGCATCGATACTGTTGGGTGTATGCGTTAGTGTAAACTGAAGTAATGGAGTAAGCTTGCCCTGCTTCGCTGTAGGCAGTGCAGTCAGAAAGGCTGAGGAAGCTGCATCGTTGATAGTATGGTCTAAATACGCACACCCAGCAGCTAGGTAGTCTTTCGAAGACAAAGAGCGCACATCAGCAGGTCTAGCTTCTTGTTTTCTGTGCTTAACTGCGCTCTCTTTAAGTGTTGTGGGCCAGCCGCGGCCTTCTTCCGTTGCTTCGGGTGGTTCAAGACACATACAGTAATTCGGTTCACGCCGACCCAGAGCTACATATATTTCCTCGAAGCTTGCCCTGCCCGTTGTCTTTGTGCTTCGAGAAGTACTGCCGAGCCGGATACGCGAGCTATTGACCCCGAATTTCACCAGCAGACTGTTGTCAATGAGACTCTTGAGGTTCTTCGCGTGAGTGTGCTCCAAGCTCACTGCATGTTCACCTTCGTTTCCACGTACAAAACTGCATTTGCCTGTCTTGCTTTCTTTATACAGTCGAAATTCAAAAATCGAGAGACTCAGCCTTATGTCAAATCCAACTAAGCCATTCGTTGGGCTTTGCTGAGGACTCTGTTGTGCTGCGGGGACGTTAGCATTGCTGTCATCAACATCAAATGGTCCCTTGCTGGAGTTTTCCGCCGTCTGAAAACTTTCAACGGCCTTGCCCTTCGAGTACGCAGAAAGAGAGGGCGGCAACAATGTTGAAGAGCCCTCTGGAGAATCTGGAGAAAGCGCTGCGCCGTTACTACCATCCAATTCCGGAAGATCTTCACCTGGCAAGATAGCTGACTGCACTCCACAACTAGGAAGCATTCGGTCAGTGCTTCTATTAGATGCTACTTGGTCTGGCACAGGCAAACCAGAGCAACGGAGACTGCGATGAAGATAGAGAGCAACTCGTCGTAGAGCAGAGCCTTTCTCAATATTGTGCATGGAGTCCAGGCTCCCCTTCACCGAGGCATCGCTCAGGCCTCCAGAATCTCCATCAACTAAAGTCTTCCAGTGTGCTCGAGTGCTGTAAGCTCGAACAATATCAATTGTTCGCCTCCTGCGGTTATTTTTGTCCTAAAGCAGGTACACTCATGTTGGGGATGGCTGTAGCTAGCATTCTAGGACGGACTCTTTGAAGTGAATAGAGCTGTACGACAGAACACGGTATAAAGATGCCTATGGCTGAGCGAATATAACGAAGGTTGCAGTATGGCACAAAAACCAGCCAGCCACGGGTACCAGAGTGTGGCATCAGAGCACTACTATTTTGTCGAAACGCAGTGCAGTCCGTGGCTCGAGTCTGCAGGGGAAATGAATAGACACACCTTCTTGTTTCTGACACAGGATTCTCGCCGCGGTATTTCAGAACGTGGAACTTCCATATTCTTCTGGGGCGGCGCTAGCATGGAACTTTGTGAGCTAGAGATGGGCACAACGTGTGAGTCAGTATCAGAAACTGGTTGCTCATTCCATAATGACAGGAATGCTTGTTGCAGGGCGTTCACCTGCGAGAAGAGCCCGACAAGAGCCATGATATCCTTATCCGTCAAACCAATACAAACTCCGCTGAGCGCAAAGGCCGGAAAGCTGCGGCACCACGAAATACATAGTAGCGTGACGCCATCAGACACACACAATGGAAAATACATCCCATCAGAGGTGACCAACATGAAAGAAGAACTGATTTTCTTGTGCAGAATGTACTGTGTGGAGTCTACTTTACCTGAAACCTTGGTCCTGAAGAGTGATCCGAAATGCAGGAAGACCCGTCTGACTGTGAATCCTATTACAGACATCGAAATTTGCAGTCATGCCTGTTGGCCACAAAATAAACTCATTAGTCCTCTTTTCAAGACAAATGGAGCACCTAAGAGTATCCGCATCTTCATTGGCTGGTTTGATGGGTGTCTCTGCAGCTTCTTCTACCTCATATTTTCTGCCCTCAAGCACCATTCCTCGGCGACTCTTTACAGCAGAGCGCACTTCAGGGGAATCACAGCGTCTGCGTCGACTTCGTGAGGATGACTCAGCTCCCTGAAGACCAGATTCAGCAGCATCTGCTCTCACAACAGCGGAGCTGCTTCGTGCGACTTCTGCCTTCCTTTCCAATGAAAGAGAGCAGAAGCTCAGAGGGCAGGCAGAGAGTCCCCATTCAACTTGCTGGCAATTAATCACCCGCCTCGCACATGCTCCTGTGACAGCCATCGTGTATCTATCATACGCTTTGCGGACCGCTGCTGGAGAGGTTCCTGGCGGCTGATTGTGCCAAAGCTGTAGACTGCTGTCAACAGAAACGGCACCAGAGTGAAAGAGAAGCCCCCGACACTGCACATCCTTATGACTAAATGGAAGGAGTAATTTCTGAGGCACGGGAATATCAACGCATATGTCGACTGTTGGATGGTCGACTTCGCCTACAAGAAGCCTGGCAAGAAACAATTCGTTCCGATGTAATGCATCTTGAACTTCTTTGCTGGCAGCCTCTAGGATGCTGCTTCCCTCAACAAGATGCACTGGCTCCTGCAGGGACTGCACTACAAATGCTACTGCAGCAGGCGTGATCGTGCATAAGAGCGAACCATGAGTTTGGACGTAGAGGCGCATATCCGGGATACCGTCAAGAGGCACGTAAACCTTATCAAACCGTAGCCACCCGCCTGCTGCAGCGTCATTATTACCGCGTTCGTTATCTCTGTACGCATTGGCAGTCTTCTTCAGCGGCTCAAACGGGCAGCCTCCTCGCCATGTGCAATTTGCGCTCCAGTCTAAGATGCATGCACTGCTGCCGGGTTGCAGTGGCGATACTGGGGGGTTGTCCAGACTCTGCCTGGACAGGCAGCGAGCATGACTACAAGGCGACAGATATATATCTGCGTAGTTGCCCTTGTGCCGGCCTTTGCAGGGGTCTGTTGGACCTTCACTGCTAAGTTTCGTATGCGAACTACTGGCTATAATACGACGATGAGACAATTCTGGCATAAGGTTGTCAATTACTTGTACCCCCTCAAAAGCGGCGACCACCGACATTCGGAGATCGTAATACATTGCGATGTGGGTGTAAAGCTCATCTAATGTCACACGTATGCAGGCAGGGGCTTCATAAGCAGCTGCTAAAGTCACCTCGAGGTTGTCAAGCTGGACGGCAAACTGCACGCTCTTGGAAAACCGCTGTGGCTGCATTTGTTGTATGCACTTGGCCATCAGAAGCTCTGCCTCTGAAGCTGCAGATACTTCTTCTGCCACTTCTTCCATAAGTCCTTGCACTGTGTCCACCTGTGCCTGGCGCTTCGATGAGAAAATATTGAATTCAAGAGCGTCAGCGTTACCACTTTCATCTGTGCTATTCGAATCTTCTTCCGAGGAATTATCGGAAACCACTGTCATGCCTGTAGCCATTGGGAATCGTTGCTCGCAGTGCGTTACCCCAAAAGGGTGGCGGGATCGAGTCTCTCGCTTCAAATCTTGAAGCACGAGCTGTCGTATGGGAAGAATGACAGTTGGCCAATATGTAGTTTCAAATTGTTGAATGAAATGCTCATCAAGCGCCATTTGGGCTGCCCATTCGCTGCCGCCGGCAACGGCAGAACCTTGAAACATCGTGTCCATACAGCCTTCAGGTTGTTCCAAGTCAAGTGTCCTTCCACTGTTCCTGGCTGCCAGCGCGTGAGCTAGGAGGCGTCGACGCCAGGCAGACTGGTAGGTCATCATCTCCTCGGCAGTCGGGATGCGCTCCCTATGCAAAGCGGCGCACATATCTACTTCGGCGCATCTTGTGGAAGGATGGGTAAAAGAGGAGGTGAATGAAAGCACTCAACGCTGAGTGACTTACAGGCATTCCGCATAAACTCCAGAAACGAATTCCTGGTACAAAATAATTGCATAGTGGGCCCAACGAAAAATACATGCTACCTGAAACGGCGTGAACTGCAGGAGACTCCTCCTTGATAGGACAGTGATTGTTATAGCAGGGAGCGGCTCCTCATCCGAATCCAACGTAAGTGCTGCTCTACCTTGGGGTTCTCGTGTGTTCTGCGAGCTCCCAACAGTCTCATTACCTCCTGAGTTCGAATAAGAGGCAACTGGGAAAGGACGCGGGAACGTCCTTTCAGTTTCCGGAGAAGGAGCTGTAGGACGCTGCACGCACCTCACCCTGAGCTCTACCTCGCTTGGCTTGAAGATGTACAGATGATGTGGGCCTGTCTGATTTGCAATCCTCCACAACTCTGTCGGGCAGTACAGATCACTAAAACGCAAGAGTCCATGTTCATTGTCCTCGTGACGCGCTTCTGCATTTGACAAATGTGTCTTCGTGTCTTTTGCTTTTCCCGAAGTCGCAGCAGGCCGACCACTGGAGTCCTCTTGTGAGCTGTGTTGAAAGCCCAGCGCTGTTTCTGCCGAGCGTCTTTTCGAGAGCGCTGCTTCACGCCTTGCCGTATGAAGGCTCGTTAGCTGTTGGTCATCGTCAGTATCTTCTGGTATGGGCTTGCGTCTTTCAGACATGGAAGTACCACGCAGCCTTTTACTGAGCAAGGCTTGGCTCAAGGCAGCAAGCGGTAAAGCGCTAGCCATGCCGAGCCCTGCATTTTGGCCTGGCTTGCGCAAATGAGACGAAAGCGTAGCTTCAGTTAGTTTAAGGGAAGGGTCATTCCCAAGTAACACCTTTTCCACATCTTGAAGGATCGCTGCCCTGTATGCAGCTGGGTATGGTACCCATGACGCATGTTCGTGTCCATCGTTGATAGGCTCAAGGTAAAGACAAGCTTGCTCCATGACGGTTTTCAAGTGGAAACATTCAGGTATCTTCTCATCACTGCCCCTGATATCTTGATGATTGCGAAGTTTTCTTAGCCAACCAAACCAGCTCTTAGGGGATGCATCTTGCGAGGCGAGTGGAGAAGCTACATCGCCGCTGCAGGATGCGCCATTCTTGTTGGACTGCTGGGGCTGCTCCTCCCACTTGGAGTCACACCGAACGTTGTACAAACGTGACGTGCGTAAACCAAAAGCAAAGTGCTGTTTCGACGCTGTTTCTGTATCTTCGAGTCTGACTTCCAGCTTAGCCACTGATAGTCGTATCCTTTGAATAACTGCGTAGGTTGCTCTTTGGAGTAGAGAGGGAAGACCTGATTCCTCTCGCGCATAGGTCAAGCACTCGTCCGTCAAAAGGATAAGGTTTCGCTGTTGATCACGCAGGGCTTGCTCCCTCTCGACGCTCCAGGCTGATGGAGGCTGCGTGGTGCCTATTACCATTACATCCTCAGCAGACAGAAGTATGGGCGCTGAAAGTAGGCGTAACAAATTGAGCTGTGAAGGAAGCAACACACACATTACGAGACTTCCGCAACACTAGGTGGTTCCCTAGTGCCGTGCAAAACAACCAGAAAATAACGAAACTAGGACCGTGCAAAACAACCCGATAACAACGAAAGCAGTACTTGGATACGCGCTGCATCGAAAAGCACAAAACGTCGACCCTATCGGTTGACCTCCTTCTGGCCACTGTGGCTTGCGACAATTCGAATGAGCCATACTTTGATCTCGAGCTTTCCTATGTGCCCGTATGTAACATCTACCGGTAGCGAAAATGCCGACAAGGCATCTACTTTAATTCTCAAGTTCCGCAGGACCACGCTACCCTTCAAGATTGACGTGTTTAGTTGGTTAGGCTCCAGGTCCTCAAACACAGCAGAAAGTGCCGTGTTGATATATGGTAGCAAAAACGAATTCAACATTTTTTCTACACAACAAAGATGTGCTAAGCAAGCGTACAAGACTCTATGGGCAGCTATGAGACGCCGAGCGGCATTCTCACGCGCCCTGAGCTACGATCTACAACGCGCTGTTCTTTCGCACCTATATTAGCACTATGCGAGTAACTCAAAACACTGCGGCATCTTAGATAGTTACATAATTTGGGGCCCTACACCGAAGTGGAAGACAACGAGCCTGCCCCACGGCCCACCACTGATATGTGCATGCATGGAGGCGGCGGCAGCCCCTAGTTCCCTGCGTGGGGCGACCTTTTCCTGTCGATTTCCTCATGCGAAATAAGCGTATGAATAGAGTCTGGGACTTTCACAGGAATACCAGGCATAGTGAAGTCAAGTGCGTGGAATGCCATTGGCGTAATGGCACTGATAGTGCTGTTCTGCCACTGTTGTTTCTGTGGCTTACCATTGTGCGCTAGAACGCATAATATTCCGACCCGTGTGATTGTTGCTTGCTATTACAGTCAATTTGCAGAGAACGTTTGTCGCGTGCCTAAGGCTATTCTGGACAACAGCTTGCGGCGTCCGTTCTCAAACTTCGGAGGGCTATGCACTCGTGCATAAAGCATGAGACAGTCCTCAGCTCGGTGTCTTGTCCAATGGAACCCGAAATGTTTCTTAATTTCGTATTCAGGGTGTCTGCACCTTTTCACATGCTGTTAGATAGCTTGAGCCCCTCAGGTGTAGCTATGTACTATCTCATCGTCTCTGCTGTATGTTAAAATTTGCCATTCGGACGTTTCCTCTTCTTCTAGCAATCCTTTCCAACTATTATTTTTGTTTTCTCTCACTATGGTAACACCTAGACAATCGTGAGTTTTAAGAGACCATAGTTTCAACCATTACAGTGTCCAGCTTCTCTCACGGTGCACTGAGCGCTTGTGAGAATTTTGCAACTTTTTTCATGTACGCGGCAGGTCGTGTTTCCATGGGTGTTTAATTTGTTTTCTGGCTTAGTCTATTGGGCATCGGCTCAAGCTCAGTGCGCAGTCAAATAGCCCGCACTTGCCCGGCTCTACAGCCCTCCAGAAGATTGTCAACGTGTTTGTCACAGAACGCTCGCCATACCGAGCCATCCAGCCGGACAAATTTAGTCTAGCAAGTCTCATAAATCAGGGCAAGCTTGCTCCCAGCAGTAAATATGGGAACTATGGGGAAACAGTAATGGTGGGCAGTCCACCTGCGTAGCGTTACTAATGTTGGCGAATGGTTTCTTCAGAGATGGCTTTTCACGATCTATCGAGAAGGGAGTTCAGCACGGTGCGAAGTCGTCTCCAGGAATCGCATAACTAATATGAGCTATTAAGCGATTTAAACGATTCCCATTCAGCATGCACTCACATGCCCCACAAAAGGATGCAGCCTGAACGTTTTGCGACATCTATGAAGTGGATAGCGAATTCAGGTTGCATAACCTGCACTCTCTAGGTCCAACTCCAACAGGGGATGCTGGCGAAGTTGAGGAATGGGCGAGTTTCTGTAACTCTAAAATAGTCGACAGTACCCTGTTTCGCACTATGAACTGATTGAAACTGATTAGATAGACTGCTTGCACTCGGATGAAAGTGTAGGCGGTTTCTTGCTGTTTCTCCCAGCAGTTACTTCGAAAGTATGTACCTAGCTCGCCAGTGTGGCATGCATTGTGCGCAATAAATAAACAATAAAAAGTGTTCGAAAAGTGAGTTCACTGTGCTCGAGCGAGCTTGCGTATAGACAGTCTATTCAAGCTACGAGCCGGTGTGGCGCCGTCATGAGCTGAACAACTGCCCGCTAAGTCTTGCTTAGATGGTTTCCAATGTTGTTTCAATTCCATAAGTTTATTCCTTCAGAACTCACCAACTCTCTCTTCCCAGACGAGATGATTTCCAATCTTGTTTCCTTTCCATAAATTTATTCCTTCAGAAGTGCCTTGTGCCACGCATTAATTGAACAAGATTGGAAACCATCTTTGCGAGACTTAAGGGGCAGTTGTTCAGCTCATGGAGGTGCCACACCGACTCACCCATCAACATTTGGATTATTTTTTCGTGGGGCTAGCTTAGTTTCTGACACCGTCAATAGCTCGACACGTTACATTATTCAAAGGACTTTCGCTGGTGAACGTGCAGGAGCCTGCTGGTAGCAGGCGCTGGGAGTTCTCTGTTAAGGAGCTGGTGTGACGTCTATGGCCACCGGTTTACGAACGCTGTGTTGTTCTGCGCAGCACTACAGCTTGACATGAAGCCCACAGGATCATAGAAAAAGCAATCTGGAAATAAAGAGTGCATGTATTGGTACGCACATCATGAGGATGCGTTGGAACTGCAAGGCGCACTAGGACTGACTGTCACGCCGAAGCTATGTGCGATGCAGATGAGGTTACCGTTCGGCAGCCACAAAAAAACCAGTTGCCTTCGAATCTGTGTTGTTGGAGTCAAGTGTCCCGGATAACAATGCGACTAAATTCAGTCAAGGAGGGCTTTGCTGGCTGGGGTAGCAACAAGCGCAGCACAGTTACCCGCAGACAAGCTCGATAAGAAGGCAAAGTATCACGTTAACCAAAAGGCAAATAAGATACGATTTCTACGAGTTCTTTCGCTCACTGAGGAGTCCCTATCAGTTAGCTGTAGAGCCAATGGCAAATTCATACGCTTGGCTTCTCGATGTTCAAATTCCGGCTGGTGTGTACCATCTCTGGAAACTTTCAGCTTTTCATACAAGCTCTCCAACCCGTTTCTCTGGTGCCGTAGTTTGTTGACACTTTCTTCCAGCCACTGGCTGCACTCTGTTTGCTGTTGGCTTCTGCCAGTGAATATACGATAGTATGACGACCTACTAAGGATGAGCTGTACTGTCCAGCAGCTTCTAGCTGATCTTTGTCCATTGTCATCGTAGTCACTATGTGAGGATCAGCTGGATGTTATGTAGTTAGCCCACCTGTGTAGCTGTATAGTCGCCATAGACATAGTGCTGCGAACACGAACAAAATATGCTTGTACTTCAAAAAGTACACTATTTCGGGAACGACTTTTTCTGGATCCCTAAAGACTGCACTTCACACGGACTATTTAACCTATATAGAAAGATGGAGACAAAGCTTCCCGCGGAGGGCGCAGAACTCGACCTAATAAGTGATGACTAGCCCGAATTGACGTCATACATTAGGTACAAAACCAAAATGTACCGGAAGAATTTCATCTCGAATGGTTTCAAATACTGTCAAAGGTGGCATCAACTGTCTGAAGTGAAAAAACTACGAACTACGCACTATGCATGCAAGAGTAGATTGATGCTCTTGCATCTTATAGAGCCAAGGCACATCACAGTAAAGCACAAATCCTTTCTGCTTCAAAGCATTCCTAGGAAGGAAAGAGTAGAAGACCTCCACTGAGCTGTAATTCAAAATCAAATTAAGTACCGTTGTGCTTAAAATTCCGTAAGTTAACCTGCAGATTCAATGACACCAAACTGAAAATGTGCAACTAGCTACGCTTCGTTTCTTCGAACCGTATGGTGGAGTGCCCTGCATCTACCATAATTACTAGCATTGATTAGTTTAACCACATGGTTGATTCGGTTTCCAACCCATTTTTTTAAAGATGCACATGAGTGGGAACGGACAAAAGGGTGGACACAAATGCAAAAGCATTACTTTCATAAAACAAATCAAGTTCCTACAGAATGTGCTTAGGAAAGCAGAGGATTGTAGGCGCAAGCTTAAGCAAATAACTGTTCAGGATTGAACAACCGCCAGCATACGGCAAAAGGTAACTCTCAGAAGCTGAAAAGTAAGCAGCATGTCACAACTTCTAAATGCTGAAGATGTACATGGTAATGATTAACGTAGTGGTAGCAGATGGCATGCGAACCGTAAGATGCAGAAGGCAACGGATGAACGAGGTGAGAAGTCAAAAGTAATACCTCAAAGAGGTGAGAGGTAAACGCCGGCATCTGTAAAATGGATGGCGTCATCTCTAGACGATGGAAGGTAAGCTTACATCTCTCTCGCTCCTAGGAAGCGCTCTTCAAGTCTCATTCTTTGGAGTGTATATTGTCATCTTCCTTATGAAGAAATGCCAGCACGATAACATGAAGATTTAAACGCATGGGTGGGTAAGAAGACGATGTGAAGCTTCCCAAAGTAAGTCAATGCGCTCCCACCACTAGATAATAGTCGGCTCAAATGAACACGGTGAAGCCGGCCGAACAAGAAGCTTGACAGGCCATTACTCTCGCCACATAGCCTACACTAAGCGATGCACAGCGCTACAGTTATGTGAGCTGGTAGCATACGTCTGCATTGTGCCATACCCATTCGAAATTCACAGTACACGAGCTTACTTTGTGTTCGAGATACAGGAACTTCGTGTCAATAATTTCCGTATACGCCAGTATACCACGCAATAATCTCAAGCCAAGTCACTAATGTGTTTGGCCGGAGTGAGGAATATGGCCTTTGTACTTTTTTCTTGGCTCAACTCTTTCTACACATTTGCCGCACGTGCTCCTCTGTTCTGCGACAGCGTCATTCGAAGCTACACGGAGATCCCTTGTCTGCACGTCCAAGAAGTCGCAAAAACTCAGTTCCAATGCCTTCTTAGCACATATACGTATATGCAGTTATTATGACTGTTTTATGCGAGCTTCTTACTACATTGTGACCCCGAAGAGTGGCTGATGGAAGATGTCGGCAACGAACAAATCCCCCATCGAGGCATAGAAAGTGGTTTCTATTCCAACAACATTCCAAAAAAAGTGAAAGATAAATAAAACAGGTGTTTTGCAGGTCCCAGGAAGGTGGTTCCAGTGGTCTCGATGGTTGTAGTGCTTACTGGACTGCTGTGCGCACACCGCAGGGAAGCCACTACCCCACCAAGCCAGCTTGATTTGCCTTCTCATCAACATTCAAGACGCACCACGAATATGATGCAAGATTTTATGAATTTCTTCTCGCCATGATAGCTGAAAATCAATCTTGTATGCTCCAGCTTTTCTTGTGGTTCGTTTTGGGTCTCGGAGACTGCCCTACACAGTCCAAGCGGTGAACGCCGCAGATGCACCAGCCGGGCTTACCAATTCTTGTCCCCCACGGTCTGCCATGGTAATGGATCTTGCAAAGGGAATTCAACGGAGATCACTGAAACAAAATGCTGTTCAAGTAGCTTAGTTATACGTAGTCACCACGAACAGTTCATGAGGGACAAGAAGAGGAGTCTACACATCCGCACTGCGCGACGTAAGAGTGCTAGGCCGCAGTGTACTAGAGCGGCGCAATTGCATAGCTGTCGAATGGGTATCTGGATATATAGGAGGGAAACATGATCAGCATGATCAATACTGCGTAGAGAGTCGTGGGAAGACACGAACCACTCAGCCAGACTAGCACACTTGGGGGAATTCAGCTTCATTTTCTTCGAAAGCTCTCATATTGAGTCTGGAAGTTACGATCCCGGGCGTCGGGCGTTCCAAGACTCTAGAGGGACCGACGTTTTGGGTCGCTTCCACTCAGCAAAATTCCGTGTAGAGAGACCTGCCGCACAGCAACATTGTCAGAGATATAGAGAAACATGGTGCTGCAAAGATTGGAAATTATATAGTACATGCTTAATGGATCTAGAAAAGGACTGAGGAACAATCAGTGCCACCCACGCAGCGCACTTCTCAAAACGATTGTGCAGTAACAGGCCACAAAGGTTAGTGGACTGCCATGTGGAAAGCGGCAAAATTTCAAGCGCAGCCGCCACTGGCGACAGTGGGGATAATCGCGTGGAGACCTGTGTCGCACCCTTTACCTTCGAAACATTCCCAACAGTTTGTTCTTGGTTGGACAGGAAGCAATGTTGCTACTATCTTCGGAGAAACGGGAAATGAGGCAAGCAACAATTTTGTAGTCAAATAGGTAGCTTGAAATGGTTTTGCAATGCATGTTGCAGCAAGTGCAGCCAGTAAAAGGATGGCAAAGCTCCCAGAAGCCTATAAAATGCCGAAGTCTGCGGTGCTTAAGAATGTTACGTGCAAGCGGTTCAAATATTTAGAGGCGAGTTGAAATTTCCGGTTATGGAGACGGACCCTCACTTCCTTGTTCGTCTGCGTTGCAACAGGCTCAGAGTGTGTCTCTCCCCTTAGGAGCAGCCCTGACACATCTTGAGTGGAGTGTTTGTGGGGACTACTTAGCCATTTTGTGCGATTTCGAGTCTGCAGCAAGTAAGGGGAAGTGGTGAAGCTGATTTTATCCTAGAGCACTGAAGTACTTTCAATTCACACGCATAGGGAAAATTCATGGCTGTTAGGTTCATGCCGAAATAGGGCTACTCGCTTGTCTGAGACACTACAGGCACGCTCGGCAGTTGCATTTTGCGTGCATAAGCCACAGCGTTGTGAGTTGCAGAGGCGTGGATCTGGCAGATTGGCAGTGGCAGTCAACTGCTTACAGAGATACCTCACAAAGATGTGGCATGCTTTTCCTGGGGAAAAGTAAAAGGCATGCTGGCTCTAGGAACGGCAAAGGGAGATGTTGTTCTGCATGACGTGGTAACGTCCACCTCAAAGAAGGATAGTATAATTCACGTGCACAGTAAATGTATTCGGCGCATTGCATGGATCGACGATAAACGGCTTCTAACAACCAGCGACGACATAACCGCAGCTGTTCTCGACTGCAAGGGTGAAGCACCTGGGAGTTCCTGGGCGTGGGCATCGTTCAACTATATTGTTTACTAACGAAAGCAACGCAACTCAGTGAATAGCGTAATAAGCGAGTTGGCTTGTCCTCCCGAGCATGGCAGATAGCTGCCGCTCCCTACTTGTTCCAGCGACGAGCTCTAGCAGTTCGATTATTCAAGAGTTGCCCTTCAAACAGCCAAATGGTTAACATGAGTTATCTCTTGGTTTTTTGATTGCTTGTGTAGGTACTGTACTTCGGCATGTTATGCTAAATGGGAACGTAATGTCGATGGCTGTAGCAATGCAGCAGGCGGCCCTTGCAACCACGGCGGAACGAATTTTGCTGCTTCACCCCGATAATAATTCATCACCTTTAGGTACGCGATGGCACTCCTTGTTAGCCTAAACAGTTGCGTAGGATACATTAGATTATCCTGCACCGAATGAGCTGCATCCTAGGGGAGGCGCTGCTTCTTTTCTTCATCAACAGTAGCTGTTGTATTTCGCTGTCTCATACAAGAGATACATTATGCTTTGCGCTGTCTCACACAAGAGATACATTATGCAGTTGGAGGAGAGTGCGAGCTCATCTGGCTAGAGCATGACGTTCTAGCAGCTTTCTTGTGTCTTGGAAGCATGCGTCTTCTGAAGATTCATTGGCCAGCTGGAAAGGTTGAAACGCTTCAAGAGCTGCCAAGCATTCCACCAGCTTCATTTCAGGGGGCATCTCTCTCTCCATCGGGAAAGAGTCTAGCGGTGGCATGTATGGTTTTTTAATTTTGTTGTTTTGCTTTTAGGCATCAGTTATTGCCTGGTTTTGATTCAGCTTGCCCGTATGTCGTTGGTTTTCATCTTCCATGATGGGAAGAGGGAGACGGCTGTTGCCATTTTGCCCCGTACTGGCGTTTTTGTCAGATGGAGGGCGCATCCTATTGCTGGCTTTTCCTTGGAATTCATCAGTAAACGAGCGCATTGTTGAACTTCGACCGCATCCCAGAGATGAGCCAATTGCGGCATTAGCTTGGAGCCCCTGCGATGAGTTCCTCACCGTCGCACTGCGTGATGGTGGGGAATCATTCAACAAAGGGAACGAGCATAGAATTGACGTGGGACAATTACTCTGTTATTACGCTTTGGGGTAAAAAGACGAATTCAAGCGTAGGTTTCATTAGAATTATTGGAGGCAGTGCACTACTGAACCGCTCAAGGTCAACCTTCCTCTTCTCAGGGTCTGTTGTTACATTTGCGTGGCCACGACGCCTGCTCTTCAGCGCCTGCAAAGGATCAGTTTTAATGAGCCGCTCTCTCAATACTCTTGTCCTCTGCGGTATGTAGAAGACCACGATATTTGCTCAGTGTTATTGCTGCGCATGCGTTCCGCTCCGTGTTATAGCACAGCGCACGCATGTTATGAAGCTCATTGCATGATTTCTGGCTGCCTATTTCCCACAGAGCCCAGCGGCGAAGAAGCCGTTTTCAGCCTTTCCAATGAACCTGACAAAGTATTCCTAGGTCCAAGGCACTGTGCAGCAGCTTGTGGCAGGGAGCTGATCATTTATACTCGTAAATCGCAAGTACGCATCACTACTGAAGCTGCCTTGGTGAAGGGCAGCTGACTCGATGGATTTATTCTCCGTAACACCACGCATGTAACTAGAACTACAGACAGGAGCATTCCACATACTGGAATGCGCCTTTTTCTTTGTGGATGAGACAGGGAGGGGTGGCGCTTCTCGGCACTTTGTGTCTTCCCTCTCCAGTTCAGCTCATAGGATTCGGGCTTGAGTATGCCGTGATAGTTTTCGAAGGGCAGGTAGGACTTGAGTGCCCTTTTGCACAACTAAGTACTCTCCATAACTCTGAAAGCTTCCGTTCTGCCTGAAGAAACGTGATTTTAACTTTGCGGGCATATAACATTCTTGGTGTCTCATTGCGATTTTTCTAGACAGCAATAATGCCTTTGGAACCAAATGGGGCCCAAATAAATTCTCTGCGGCCACTCCACCGCAGAAATTCTTCAGCGAAAATGAAGGAAGCCACACTTGCAGCAGAAATGCTGCGAGAAGGCCAAGTTGCTGCAGTGGCCTCTGCAAGTTGGTGGTGCGCGCTTACTGACACTGCTGGAAATGTTTGTCTTTACATGATAAACAGCGGGCTTCCATTTGATGGCTTCTGTCACACCGCTCCAATAGTAGCTTTAAGTGCCAATTGCGATGCCACTCGCCTGGCTGTACTCGACTGCAATGGACAAGTTCTTGTATACTCCCCTGGGACTTCGACTTCTTCCTGGCAAGCAAAAAGCAGCACGTGCCGAAAGAATGAAGTGCTCCGACGCGTCTCTAGCCACTTTCACACAGCTCAATGCGTGCACGGAATATTAGTGGTTCCATAGCGCGACAGGCCAGCAGTCCCCTCTAGACACTTTACAGCAATATCTTGCTCGCGCCCGCTGTCGTTTCCGTGGAAATGCTTCATTTCCGGGCATGTATTTCCTCAGCTTGGGCCTTTCCCTCGGAGGAGAAGCGCGCGACGTGTTCTGGGATGGCAAACATAGTGATGTCCTTGTCATTGTTACCTCGCTACACCAAGCTGTGCCTTTTATCTGTTGTTCTAAAGCTTCGTTTTCTGAGGAGCAAGCTTTCCAGGTGCATATAAGGACATGGGCCTGCTTTCCACTTTGCACGAATCATTCGTACCGAGACTCGAAAACACAGTCGTGTTGTGTGGCTAAGTGGGTGAGCAGGTGCCTGTGCTGCAACTCCAAGGGTCACACGCAGTGGAAGTTGGACTGTGCTGCATTGACCTAGAAGACCTACTCTTTCCGATTGCGTTAATTAATGGTAAGATGAGGAAAAGGGAACACTGATTTGAGCACAAGGAGTGTAATCAGCGTTTAGATATTGCTGACATTTCCGTATAATTACGTCAGCTGAGAAGCCGTGGGGAAGTGTAATCCAACAACTGGCAGAGTGCATGCCCAGAATTACGGACGCCCAAAGTATGCAAAGCGTTTCACTTCATTTGCAGCCCCTTAGACTGGGAGCGTTTGCATAGCGTCCACCTTCTGGCTTGGCGAGTTCTTTCATTGTGTGGTGATTGAATTCTCAGGTGTGCTTTTGAGTATTTCGACCTCCGGTAATCTCACATCATTGTGTTTGGACTGCCTCTCTTGCCTGCACCAGACACCGCACTGTACGCTATTGGAGAAATGTAATCGCTATAGAGTGATACGTTACGCATCCCAGCTGCTCCACAAGTAATACTACACAATACCGTAAAATTCACGGAGACAATTTTCGACTCTTAGCCAAACTGATGTTGCACCGGTGAGTGTTCTGCGCAGACCATACGTCACTAAATAACTCTGCAGAGCCCAGCAGCCTCACAATCCGCTATGTTTTGCAACTGCTCGCCTTGGGAAGAGATGGAGAAGCTCTGCAGGCCCTAGAAGGCATGCTTGGCGTTAGCCCCGTCGGTAACCTGTCAGGTAGAGACGGAGTTCTCACTGTGGATAGGCCATCACACTGCGTACTTTTTCAAGAGTTACAAACATTCCCTGGAGCATTGGTTAATGAGCCTCTCCAGCGTTTTGCGGCCTGCACACTGCGCAGTGTAGACCAGCAAAAGTTTTAACCCGCAACCTAAAGATTTGGCCGTTACGAGAGCCACTAAGAATTTTTGTAGTGGCTTCTTAGCTCCTTAAAGGCACTTTGAGCTTCTGTACATTTGCCATTGTGCAGCGACGGCACGGGATTGCTTCGAAGCTGTTGGCTGGCATGCCCTTGACAGACTTGACATAAATGTGGCCTGCCGGTCATTTAAAGCTGCTAAACGATGTGATCTAGTACCTTGGCTCTGCACACTTGAAGAAGTCGAAGAGGATGTTGCTTTAGGAGCTCACATGAAAGGTGCGTCGCTCTATGCCTTCCCTCTTCCTAACTTCGGAGGAGCTTTACAACTATGCTTGTGATGCACAGAATTTGTGACTACTGGGTCTATACGGTTCACTGTCACGTAAGCACGATTTTGGCTTTTTGAAGCAGTTTCGGTGCGATAAGGTTTGAATGTGGGCATTGCATACAGCACTTCACCACAACTGGCGGGAGGCAGTGGAGTTGCTGATGTGCAGCTCAGACCCAGAAGCTGCATTAGACATCGCATGCCAGCTGGAAGAGTGGCATACTGCTATTGACCTCGCAAAAGTCGGCTAATGCCACCAAACAGATATCACTTTTCCATTAGCAAAGCTTAAATGTTCGCCCCTGAGTGTCTTTACATTGCATCACCACGTACTTCAATATTTATGCACGTGATTTACTTCCGCTTCTGTCCAGGTTCTCAAGCCAAGGAGTGTGCCACAATTGTTTCAGTTCCACGGCATGAGCTGTGAAAGAAAACAGGCATTTTCCACGGCTCTAGCTTCTTTCTCAGCTGCAGCAGATAACATAGCGCTACAGTTGAAAACTGACAAGGCAAGCTATGATCAGGTTGAAAACGGAAACGAGGGCACCCTAAGCGGTGTCCATGCTGTCCATTTATTATGTAAAACTGCTCTCTCTCAACTAGAGCCTCCGGAAGAACTCTCACGTCTAGGAAAAGAGAAGCATCTCCTATTGTTAGAATGTCTCCGTGGCATGGCCCGCTGCGCTTTTAAGGCGGGAGAACTTCAGAAGGGTTTGCAGCTTGCTGTAGACCTCGACAGCCCTATCGTTTACCGTCAGTGCGCTGAATCTCTGCTGAGCATTCAGCAGCACCGGCACGCAGCTGCTTTGCTTAGCAGAGCAGGGGATCCTGAACGTGCAGCTTCAATCTATATTGAGGTTAGACCACAAATTGCTGTTGCTCAGTAGACACATGATCACATCCCTTGTCTGCCCCACCACTATCGACCCAAGTCGAAGCTCCAGCTCACTTCTGCTTTCTCCTATCTGTGACTTTTTTCTTCCCCGAATTTCTTATTGGTACAAAAGTTATTTGTGATAGACTCGTTCTGCTCGTGGCCCTGCTTGCGTGTTCCTGCAGATCGGCGAGCTTGACCTAGCTTTACCCCTTCTGGGGTCTATTAGCACACCTGGCAGGCTTTTAGAATCATATGCCATTGCCGTCGAGCAGCAGGAGCCGCTTGAGGCGCTTCGTGCATACGCCAGGGCAGGTGAATTTAAAAGTATGGTGAGAATACTGGTAAGCAAGGAATTTGGCCAAGAGCCGCCGTGGTTAGTGTTCTGCCAAAGTGGATTTCGTGTGAGGCATGGACCTAGCCAGAATACGAAGATGAAGGCCAAAGTCAAAGGGTCGTTCTGCTGATCCTTCAGCATATTCATTGTGATATCCTGCCCTCTTATTTTGCGCATGGCTCTGCGAGCAGGGTCTCCGTCTTGGCCGATGGGAAGAAGCGAAAACACTTGTTCGCAGAGTTCGCGACCAAGAAGCAGCTGCAGCCCTCGCAGATTGCTGCCGGTCCGCGAAATTATTTCCTTTGCAGGCCTTAATGCTTGACAATCTGCTTTCGTCTTATTTGCTTCCAAGCAGATGACCTCGAAATTGGGTCTTGTGGCTGCTTAACAAAGTTAATGGACCTAGCCAGAATACGACGATGAAGGCCAAAGTCAAAGGGTCGTTCTGCTGATCCTTCCGCAGGCAAATGCACAATATAAGCATTTGCCTGCTTCCCCAAAGAACAGCAACTTTGTTTCAGCTATCGACGATTATTTTGATGCCTTCCTAATGCCTATCATTTAATCGTTGCATATGCAGGGTACGCGCTGACTTTCAAGGGGCTGTGGAAATGCTTTGTGTTAGCGGAAATGTGGAAGCTGCAATAGCCCTTGCTGAAGAGAGCCAGCATATCTCTGCCTTGGCACATGTACGTCATGTTCTTACCAGACCAGGAGCATGTACAGTGCCACGGGACATTTTGGTTCTTGCCCGCTTTTAGCTCAGTTCTTGGAGGGCACTGCGAAGGGCAGCATCAAGTAGGCGGGTGGACCTTCACACTTATGTGAAGTCTTGGCTTTAAAAGTGGTCTACTATGTGCTAGTTTCGTATGACATAGGCTCTCGGCGAAACGGGGGCAGTCGATCTGCACTTGCGGGCATCTGTTTTGTTGGAGCGCCATGGACTGTTCAGTCAAGCAGCTTGGCACAGAGCCTTAGCTCAACGACCCCAGGAAGCTCTTGAGTTGTACATTCAGGTGCTTTGTATGGGATCACGTAGGCATGTAGTGCGCCTCATTTTTTGACGGCTATTTTGGAAGTGCTGGCTTTCTCTGTAACTACTATAGAAGGAAACAATTGTGCGCACATGTTCGTCACGGCGAGCATTCAGGCTGGGGAAGTAGCTTGGCCACAAGCTGTGGAACTTGTTGCCAAGACTGGAGACTCACAGCTCCTGGAGAGACTGAAAGCAGAGCTTTCTAGTAAGGTCTTCATATGTCCATCCCTTAATATTTAGAATTCCTGGGTTTTTCCTTTTCATTTGTGGCCGAATGCTCACGTCCTCCTTCTGCGTGTTTGAGTGCTTTCGACTGTGCTACGGTTATCATTTCCATCTTCAGAGGACAAGGAAAGTTCTATTGGAAGACTCGACTCACTCCGGCGGTGAGCTTCAATGTTACCTTGCCGCGTTCACCGCAAGAAAACACGTTCTTGAAGCACTCAAAATATAAAGCGCTGCGAGCTTGAGTTAAATTAATGGTGCCAAAGTGAGAAATATTCTTCTTTACACTTGAAAGCCTTCCTCATTGCTCATCATACGCTATTCAATAGGCTAGCTCTCCTTGTGGGCGAGCCGTGCGAGGTGGCACACAGCTCTTTGGCCCTAGGTCGGCATCAGCAGATGCAAGGACTTTTTCGAGCAGCTCATGCAAGCCTCTTTGAAGCATTACAGATTCTCAGGAAAGCCAACGGAGGCTTTTTTTCAAGTATTGCATCGAATATTTTTGTTGGTAAACAGGCCTGTCCAAAATTGAAGCAGCAGCAAGCGTACTTCTGCGTTCTTCACCAGTTCGCACTTCTTCATTCACTTTTGCTAGTTCCTGGCCTATTGAAGCAGGGGGATCAGTACGGCGCTGCACTGCTACTCATGAGGGTTTCGGCATATATTACAGAGTAAGTTTCGGAGCACTGCTTTGCATATTTGGCTATTTCCGGCATCCGTTGGCTGGCACAAATGGAATTGAACTCTCATATCGGCTCTGCGGCACTTTGCCTCTATTTTGGTTTGTTTGTTGCCAGCTGGTTGACAAGCTCAGTCACCTTCAGTGCCCCTTTTTTGCGGACCAACTGTACTTGCTTCACCTGCGAATTACCAACAACACAGGGGAATATACACCGAAACGGAGAGACCCTGTTCTTTCCACAGGCTGACAGCCTGCGTCGTTCTGTTACGAAACTTGGCCAGTTCTTCTGCATAACCGGACAGGCTTACAGCATGCGACAGCCAGAGTGTGCTGTCCTGCTTTCATTCATGATTTCACCCTTTGCTTCCATTCCTTGCGACTTTGTGGCTGTGTCATCCTTGCATTTTGTGTGACAGTTTCGGAAACCAGGCGGCGTCGATCCTGACTTCAACTCTGCTCACCGGGGCTGCTGCAGGCTTTCCTGCCTCAGCTTCTTCCGTGGCAGGTGCATCATTACTTCGCCCAGAAGTTAAGTCCCAAATACCAGGTTGCCACCGTAGAGCGGTCGAGCGCATTCTAAGGCTAAAACAACCGGACTCCACACGAAAGCGTTCTACGCCCTGCCTGAAGTGCAACGCTGATATTAACGAGGATGCAGTACAGTGCTCCACTTGCAAGGTTCGTTGAAGGGAATGACACGTTTTCTGCTTCACCAAACTACTACAGAACCACCCGCATGAAGCTTTATATAGCACGAATAAAGGTTCTACCAAACGCTTTTCCTGACGCAATATGAACTGTTTGCAGAGTTTTGCACCTCTTTGTGGAGCCTCGGGGCTTCTTCTGTTAGGCGATCACTGCGCCGTGTGCCCCTTTTGCCACTTTCCAGTAAATGTAAGTAGAGACATGTGAAAGGTTCCTCTTAGAAAAACGGGTTCAGCGCCTGCTTTCCTCGCAGCAATTAAGCAGGCCAGCCCCCAGTAATTCCATTCTAACATGAACGAGCTTTGTCTGCTCAGGAATATATATACAAACAGCTTCGGAGCCATGTCCATACTTGCCCAGTTTGTTACGAGCCACTGGAAACCGCAGATTGGATAGTTATGCCAGTAGTGGATGCAGCACCGAGTGCCCTCTACATGCACAATGAGACGTCCACTGCATACTGCTAGGAATATTCGAATTCGTCCTGAGTCTCTCCTGGAGGTGGATTCCTCATTAAAAATATGATGTCGAACAAACCGCTCACGAGAAATGACTTTTTAGGCCTCCAGTTTCCTTTGAAGAAAAGTGCCGCCCTTGGGGCTTCAACTTGTTACTGGTTTCCCTCCTCTGCAAATGACGGTGCTCACGGTAAAACAACTGCAGCAGCCGATTCAGCGTACGCAAAGACCACAAGCAGAGGCGACTGGCGTAAAGACAGCTGCTTGAAGAAAGCTGTGAACAGAAGCACCAGCACTCCTAGCATATTTGATGTACTTTCACAATAAAATTTCCTGCTACATCCGCGTGCCGAAAGTGACATCGGCTACCTGCAGCTAACAAGACAACAGCCCGGAAAGCGGTAGGTAGCTGCAGTAGGTACAGTGCATCGCAATGCTGGCATCCCTTCCCTTCGATGCCAAGAGTGGAGTTGCTAAAATGCACGTAACCGTAGCATTTGCATTGCAGGCTCTACTCCCCAGTATTTAGAGGCTAGGGCTAAGGGATAGCATCCTGCAAAGAAGAAGAGTGAGAAAATACTGTAGTCCGCACGGGCAAAACGATTTTTGCGAGAATGTAGATGAGGATAGCGCGATCCACTGGAACTCCTTTAGTGCTCCTGCGAGGCAGAGATTCACTAGCTCTACAAGAGGGCCACAACAAGAGTTCGTGTTTTCAGCGTACTACAGATAAATGAGCAGCAAGCTATCAAACAATTGAGTCAAGCGTTGCCTACTATCTACTTCTGTGTACTACTAGGAAGGCTCCTCCAGAACATCAGCGCACTTGCGGCCTATTTTAATTCCAAAACGGCAAATAGTGTCAGGATCACATTGCTGCCTATCGAAACAAACTACAGTCTGGCAGTAGGATATGTATGCTGGGGCAGTTGCTGCAAATCTTCACATCGCTTTACATCGGACCGGTGGAGGAGTATTGTTGTGTTTGTATTCCGCCACGGCGGCAAATCCCCTGCTTCTTTCCTCAATTGCACTGCAAACAATGCTTTAACAATCAAAGTTGTTGAGCAGTTAAACAGGCGAATCCTGCTCTACTGTTCGGTTGACATGAGGGCGCCGCCCACAGGCTCACTGGTGAGGGGAGCACACCATGGCAGATGGTGCGTTGCTGCTGCCTCCGCGACTGCTTCCCCAAGCTTGGCGTTGCTTTTGCTTTATTGCAAATAGTGCCTGCATAAAATTTTTCGGCTGGATGAGGGGAAAAGCAGTCTCAGAGGGTCTCTAACTTGAATGCGAGGGCCTTGTGGGGTTTGCTTGTTCGACACTCGATCCCTATGGGTGCGCAGAGCCCAATTTTTGAGACAAAATACTTTTGGAGGCTATAGAGCACGTTTGCCCCTGATTGTAGCAATTTCGATCTGTTTATTCCAAGTGATTCACGCCAGGTTGCTGTCTGACTCCGATTCCGTGATGGGCTGGGTTGTTTTTTCCAACTGCCGCAACCAGCGAAGCTGATAGGCTGCTTCTTCCGGTGGAGACCTCTTCTTTTCCCATTGCAGAAGCTTTTCTCGAATTGGGAAATGAAACTAGCAGCGGCAGTAGCTTCTTGGGCGCTTCTGCACCTCTGCCCTGCTGAGAGCGCCGGGCAGTCATGGCCTAGTTGGACTCCAACCCAGCAGAACGGTCCGGTTCGCACTTCAAGAGTGTGCATGCTGCGTAATAGATGCCTTGTATAACTTGCTTCGTCCTATTTGAACCCTAGGTTTTGCAAGCGCGGTTCAGGTAAGGTGGACTTGTTTGTTTTGGGCTCTTTGTGCGTGTTGTATGGTGCGTTCAGGCCAGCATTTACAGCAAGGTGCTTGGTGGCAAGCTCTTCCTCCAGGGCAGCCGGCTTCTCAATCTGCACAGCTGCAGCCCCAGCCTCCCGTGGCTCCAGTGGCTGCCCGTAACACTCCTCTGACAGTTCCAGCTGGGGGACTCGTTCAGCAGCGTGCTCGGGTGCAGCCGCCACAGAATGGGCAAGTAGAGGGTCATACGGGCAGTTCCACGCTCACAGCAAGCGCATCATCTGGCTTATGGAAGGTGTCGAACACGGGACGAGCTGTACAGGAGCTGCAGCAACATGTCGGCGCAGTGTTGCAACGCTCCTCAGCTGGTTCTGGCTGGGGAGGCGAGACTGTGGAGGTTGTTGTGCCCGTGGAGAATCTCACGAGTGCTCTGACGGAGCTCAGTAAATTTATCCAGAGCGTTATGGCCTTCTGCGAAGCTGAAAGCATGCAGAAGGGGATGCAGGGGGGTTTCAGCCCGGCGCGTTTGCCAGCTTCGCAGTATGGCTCCGCTGGAAGGTTCCCAGTGGATGCGTTTGTTACTCAGGCGAGAGAATATGCGCAGCGCGTAACGGCACAAGTGCTTGCGCTCAGGGATTTGCTAGATGCTGTGTTTGCTCCGTCCGCGACAAGAGCAAGCGTTGCTCGTGCAGTACAGCAGTTCAGTGGGAGCGTGATGGATTGCAGAGAAGTATATCAGCTTGGGTCGCAGGTGTCTAGTGCGGCTATTGGTGCAATGCTTCCCTTTTTATCCACCTGCTCGTTCTTCGCCAAAAACGGCGCTCATGGTGCCCTCAGGCTGTGGTCGCTAGTTGGTGCGCGCATCAACTCAGCCCTACGTTATTTGTTCCAAGTACTGGAAATTATACGTAAGACAGCAGGAAGGCTTGTGGACCTGGTGTCAGGGAAAATCCAGCCACAATCCCTACTGGACTTTGCACGTTCAAAGCCATTCTTCAGGGCAGCTGCTTACATGGAGACATCGGAGGCGCGCTCAGTATCAGCAGTGGCCTACTTTAATGACCTGGCTGCAGCATTCCACAACCACACAACGTCATTGAGTTCCGGTGACGTTGCGCATGCAAGTGAAGAAAGCGTTACGCAGCACTCTGGTGCAGGAGATGACGTGCAGCAAAGTGTAGATGCAGATGAAGGAAACGCAGATTTTTCTCTCATGGCAGAGGACTTGAGCCCAGAACCCACGCAGCACCTCGATGTGGGAATAGGTGAGGATCGACGAGAAGACTTACAGACCGCAGCTGACGAAGAATCATTCCCGTGGAATGCTCCGGATAAGGCTGTAGGGCCCACCGCGCTTGATGAAATGCAGACGCTGGACTACAGCTAGGCAGGCTGGCGCGCAGTGAAAGTCGTGCTCCAGGTTGTATTGGACCCCGATCTGGGGACATGCCAATCACGTCACAGAGGAGCTTGAAGGCAGAACTTTTGTGTCGTGATTGGCGCGGAGCCGACATCAGTTCCACAGACTGCAGCTGTTGCGCCACCATTATTCTCCTCGTTGCGGGACTCGCTTGCTAAACTGGTCTCTCGTTACGATTTACAGTGGAAGAGCGGTTAACGAAGTGTTGCACATTAGAGGAAGCTCGTAACTACAGTTGGGTGTCTAGCACTACACGAAAGGTTGCCACTACTACCATGAGCACTCCGGCCAAAAAGCATTGCCCGATGCGTGCATGGTCCGTAGCGTGCACAGCGAGTCGCCCTGCTTTGTTTCGCGGCGAACCTGGCAAATGTGCAGAGGCCCACAGTGTGGTCCTGTCAGCCCGTCTGGCCGAAGGGCTCCTGATTACCCAACCCAGTGGGGTGCAAGTCCGACTGCAGCAAAGGTTCCTTAAGTGAAGCAGAAATTCCGACACCGCGCTGCACCTCCGCCACATTGCCAGTTGATCGTCTTACGTACCATCAACGTAGGGCAAAAAGTTGCAACACTCACTACTGCTCCGGACAGCTAGCATCCCTAGCAGGACAAACTACACGGCTACTCACGATGCATCCTGGCGGGCACTGCATGCGGTACGATCCCGTTCGAGTAACTGAAAGTATTGTTCTCTGTAAAGTTAGGGTCACGCAGCGGGCGGCAGCCCAGCCCAACTAGTGGGCGGCTGCCAGGGTTTCGCGCAGCAACACACAGAGTGCCATTCAGAACCGGCAAATTCAGTTGCCGTCCTTCTGGGACATGTACACTGCAAGGTCAACCAGACGGTTGGAATAACCCCACTCGTTGTCATACCACGAAACGAGCTTTACGAAGTTGTCATTGAGCTGGATGCCGGCCTTAACATCGAAAATGGAAGAGCGCTTGTCGCCACAGAAATCCTGGGACACGACCTCATCCTCTGTAACGCCCAAAATACCCTTCAGTGGGCCCTCAGCAGCAGCGCGAATGGCAGCGACAATGTCCTCATACTTTGCAGGCTTTGCCAGTCTGCATGTAAGATCAACAACTGACACATCAGCGACAGGAACGCGGAAAGCCATTCCAGTAAGCTTGCCGTTCAGTGAGGGGATAACTTTGCCCACAGCCTTTGCCGCGCCGGTGGTGGCTGGGATAATGTTGCTGCCAGCGCAGCGTCCTGCCCTCCAGTCCTTCCCACCCTTGGACGGCCCATCAACAGTCAGCTGGTTTGCAGTCATCGCGTGCACTGTTGTCATCAGGCCCTCAACGATGCCGAACTTCTCGTGCACAACCTTTGCCAAGGGAGCCAAGCAGTTGGTTGTGCAAGATGCGTTGGATACCACCTGGTGAGACGACGTGTACTCTTCATGGTTGACACCCATCACAAACATCGGAGTGTCATCCTTAGGTGGCGCAGAGATAATAACCTTCCTTGCACCGCCGGTGACGTGAAGTCCCGCCTTCTCCTTGTTCGTGAAGACTCCAGTAGACTCGCAGATGTAGTGCGCACCGACCTTTCCCCAAGGAATGGCCGCAGGGTCCTTCTCGGAAAAGATCTGGATAACCTTGCCCTCAACAACCAGACTGCCGTCCTTCACTGTCACTTCTCCAGGATACTTGCCGTGGACGGAGTCGAACTTGAGCTGGTAAGCCATATACTGGACATCCATGAAAGGATCGTTCACAGCAACGACCTCCTGAGCCCAGGAAATCAGACAACATCACAATAATCCTGTAAGATGGATAGGAAACACGAGAGACACGTGTAGTTCGAGTACTCTGCGCATGCAATTCCTGTAGGACAGCGCGAGGCACGTACAGTGTACCCAAATAAACATGCTGTGTGACTAGGTGTCCACTGGAGCGAGAACACCACAAAAGACAGCAGCTACACACCGAACAGCACTATGTCCCAAGTCTTACCACATTTGGGTTGGCCATCGCGGCACGGAAAACCAACCGCCCAATGCGGCCGAAGCCGTTGATGCCCATGCGGCACACCATATTCGAATAGTAGGATAATGGCAAGGATTAAACGATACACAACAAGAGTTCAGTCAGCTCGACAGGGGAATCCTTGTTGTGACTGCACACGTATATCGGCTGCTGCTACTCATCACCGGAGAAGGGGGTGCCCGCGAGAGGAGACGCGTGGGGGAGGTGCGGCGTGCACGGAGCACCAGCAACTGTCGGCTTGCGTTCTCAATCGTTAATAACCATTGGATAAAATTTTTACATTACTACATCTTCATGTACTTTCTATAACTTTTAATGCCTAGAGCAGTCAATCGTGTTTTGGAGGGCAACGTTACACCTGTACGAACACGCCGCATCACATATATTTGTGTGCAGCGAGAACTGCAGGCTGCACGCTGCAGCTTTTCGCCCTCGTGTCGAATTATTTAGTCCCCCTCTATGTTTGTATTGCTTGCAGTAGTAGGTCTAATGGCTGTAGGCTAGGAGGACTCGTGTGTGGGGCGCTCATACTGGGCGGCGAAGCGCAATGTTCCGCCGTCATCACTTCGATCTGCTGTAATAGTAGCATTCTTGTAGGCCTTCCCAAAGCACATTCCATCTTTTAAAGCAGTCCATGCCTGAAGCACCGATATGTCCCCAAATCGGCGTTGGACTTCCTGTGAGGCCTCATGGTAGATGTTATTTCCGGGCTGTATCATGCCTTCAGGACGAAGCAGTTGCTTAGTTGCTGTTCTAAAGCAGTGGCGTTTTTACTTGATGGATGCGGCTGAATATCCCGAAAGGAATCTCGACTGCGCGTCCAGGCCAAAGGCGTTCTCTTGTTCTTGTAGTAATTCAGCTCCGTTTAATGAACCAGCTCTGCTCCAGAGCTGTATTACTGCTGTGCCCAGATATTGTTTGCTTCGATCCTTAAGCTTGAACAATTTTAAACGTAACCATCAGAAACTGAAGCAATAGCATACTTGTTAGACGCAGCTAACCCAGAGTCACAGAGGTCGTGCTCTACGCGTTATCTCAGGGGTTCCGTAGGGCAAAGCGGACCTAAGATGCTGGGCATAGAGTGTCACACTAAGCATGGTTAGGCTCCTACCCCGTACAGCCCGTGCATATACTGAGGGGGAGGCTAAAATATTAATTTATGCAGGAATTGACGCAAAGGGGATAAGAAAAAGGAAGCTATAAAAAATGTGTATACGTGTTGTAGGTAGACCCCTAAGCCGTTCAGCAATGCTTACTGTCCCAACGTAGCGTAAAGACAAACAGCCGGCAACGGATTGCACACACGGGGTGATGATTTCGGCGGTGGTTGCATGCTTCCGCTGTAAGGATGCTGGGGTCTGCCTGTCCTGGAATTGGAGCAACACAGAAGCAGTTCTTTCATAAACAAGAAGAGACGCTCTTAAAGCAGATTCGAGCAAAAGCACGCTTGCCAAATGTATCACTGGCCTAGATGACCGGAGACCTATGCGCTGCCTTACAACTTTGGCTATTAAAACTGAAATAACTTAGCGTAAAAGGATTTCCCCTAATGCACCTCGAAAAAGTATGCAATACGGAAAATAAGGACGATCCCACTCTTTTTCGGTTATTGGGAAGGTGAGGCCAAACGGAGCTGAGACTCGTACCGTGCAGGCCCTCTTAGGTGTTCTGAATAAATTGTGATGCAGTGTTGAGAAGGCAACAAGTGTGAAATCTCACGTGCGTGGAGGTATTTTACATGAAAAAAGTTAAGCATCAAACACAGGGCAAGGCTGGCGTTACCCGAAGAGCCATGATCGCAAATAATCGCAATTATGCCGTCAGTCTTGACCTCTCTGATCTCAAGATGCGGAACATGAATGATCAAACACTGCATACAAAAAATCTGCGCTGCTTTTAAGCGATGCCTTTAGCGCATGTGGTGCCCTGAGGCATAAGGGAGCCGCCGAATCTGAACTGTGCGCTGCGGCTTCGAGGACATGCTAGTAAAACGGCGTATAGGAATTCTTGTTTGCTGGGTTCCGGAGTTGGACTTTGCCACCTCGAGCCAAAAGGTTTAAAAGGGGGATGTGAAGGAGCTCCAACCGCTACGGCACGCCCGGGTGTCGGGCCAACCACCTTCACGCGTCTGTATATAAGCCCATGATTTTACTATCGAGTGTGTGTATATGCTGTCTTGGTGTTCTATTAGTTCATTGGTGTTTCATGCAACTCAGGTGGAGGCACGAGAACGGCCTTCTCCTCTTGCTCGCCTCGTGCTATTATCTGCCATGTGAAACCCCAAATACGATGGCTCTGGCAGATACAGTCAGTAGTAATTTCGCGCTGGACAAACCACGCTGTGCGTTCACTGAGTTCCAGGTCGTGTGTAAGTACTCTTTTGTTTTGCTGTGCAGTACACCCAAGGGACCCCTATACTAGTGCTTGCACTGACACTTTGTACCCACGTTCCTCGTAGAACGTCGTAAGGCTTTGGTACTTTTCTCCCTTGTGGAGACGAGCTGCGCCAAACGAGTACTTCTGGTAGTCCTTCTACACAATAGCTACATCAGCTATCGTGATTCGCTTCGGCTTCTCATCCCTTAGTATGATGTCCGGCCTCAGTAGGGTCTCCATATCCTCTGGACTGCTATCTATTTGCAAGGTCTTCTCCCGATTCATCGCTGCACTTGAGTGCAGTTGTAATCCTCTCCAGGGCCTTGTTGCGCCGCTCTTTGATTTTGCTGTCAAGGCTGTGAGGACAGTGGTTGAGCACATGCGCATGGGTTTCGGGATCTGCAGTGAGGTGGCGACAGCGAGATGCCATAGAAGCTTTAATCTTCTTGAGGTATGCTCTCGTGAGAAGCTGTGCAGAGCGTGCTCTTAGTGCAAAGACGACCTCCTCGGGCTTTAGCCGGGTGCGTCCCCGCAAGAAAGCGTTGCTAGCTGCTGTTGTTGGGGATATGCTTTGCAGGCGCAGCCCGCAATTGCCCCTGCCTCAGAACATGTACTGATCTTGACAATTTTTCATGAGGCCACACCCTGGTATTCAACTATTAGACTCTTGGACTCGGATCAACATGTGGTAGAAGCCAGGCGTCCCCGTACCACTGGTTGAAGACGCCTCCGCGCGGAGATCAGCCCCCTTCTTTAAATGACAACGAACTCGTTTTTCTTTAATCCGCATTGTGTTGTCTTTGCTGGATTCAATTTGGTCTTTGCAGATACGTATCGCAAGCAGGGGCGCTCTAGAGGGGACTCTTATCCCCAAACACGACGCGGCTCACGCAGAAAGCGTCGCATGACCCAGCCTAGAGCTTACGTACGGCGAGATAAGATCTTCCCACTCTGGTTGCGTTCAATGCCACGCGCACGTTCCGAGAGCTCCTGAGCTATGCTGGAGGGCTCCTCTGGAGGTCTTTTCGCCGGTTTAATGCTGATGTCATAGCAGCAGAGGCCAGGTAATCGTTTGCCAGTACTAGCTGCACAGAGTCACCTTAAATTTCCGTGCTCTCTCGGCGTGAGCTCACGGGCCGCAAACTTCCAACAATTAATTCTGCCTCACATTACTCATGGAAGGAATGGTACGCCTCTCAATGGGGAAGTATAAATGGCTACTGAACCAAGAGTAAAAAGTAGATAGTGAGAAATGAGAACTGCGTATAGCCCCGAAGTCGGGTTACGGCGACAAGGCCTGACGACAGGCGATACCATCGAGCGTCAGACTACGCAGAAGGAGAATGAGGCCTGAGAAGCAGGATATATTCTGCATTTAATAGCGTAGATGGTGAAGTTTTGCACTGTTTTGGAAAACCTAGGCCTTATTGGAGTGCAATCGCTGTCAGCTGCTCAATCCATTTATCGTGACCACTACTATGCATTTCCGTAGACAGCAGTTGCTAGCTTCGAAGCTTTAGGAGCATGAAGCTATTGGGGTGCACAGGCACTACAATAAGGCTTGCTGGTGACCGTATGAAGATAGATAGCTGGCGACCTACAAGAGGCCATAACGCTGAACGAGGACAGGACCTTCTTACTAGTATCGAAGTAAGGAAATTTATTGTCAAATTAGCATGAATACACTTGAAGTGTCTGTAAATACCTGGAGATTCTGGCTAGCGATAACGCCGGCACCGGTGCAGGCCTCCTCCCCACAGGGCCTAGGAGGCAAGAGCCCCGAGTGGGGGGTATTTTCAAGAAAACAGATTTTGAAAAACTAAAAATAACTGCATCTTGTGATATTTGGACTACTGTTTCAAGGAAATGCGCCGTAGGTAGACGGTTATCATAGGCCCCCACTCGTGGGGCAGCTTGTAGTGCACAGCACCTACTGCTGCGACTTCGCTGCTACCTGCCCCCTCGAGTAGGGGCCTACGATAACCGTCTACCTTCGGCGCATTTCCTTGAAACAGTAATCCAAATATCACGGAATAACATTTATTCATAGTTTTTCAAAATCTGTTCTCCTGAAGGTCCCTCCCTCTCGGGGTTTCCGCCTCGGGCCCTGTGGGGAGGCCTGCACCGGTGCCGGCGCTATCGCCAGCTCCAATCTCCGGGTATTTACAGACACGTTTAGTGTATACATACTAATTCGCCGACAAATTAGCTTACATCGACCCTAGTAAGAGGGTCCTGTCCTCGTTCCGTGTTATGACCTCTTGTAGGTCACCAGCTAGCTATCTTCTATAGGTCATCAGCAAGCCTATTATAGTGCCTGTGCATTATAACTTCCCCCCTTGGCGGACACAACAGACCTACCCAAAACACATTATGTTTGCCTTTTCAATATCTTTTCTCGTCTGAAGCTAACGCCGTGAGCGCATGCGGTGCGCAGCGCTGCCTCACCACCCCTCGTTGAAGGTTGCCCTTTCTGCAGGCGGCGGCAGGTGACGGGCCCAAAGCTCTACGCCTCGGAAGGACCAAGATTGTTTCGTGTCTTAAGATGTCTTCGTTGGCGGCGGCGCTAAGCGCGAAGCAAAGCCGGGCAACCTGTAAGGTGGTGAGAGGGCTCCCATGTGGCTTGATTTTCAGGGGTCCCGCGCCACTTCACGAGGTACTGGGCTTCATCTTCCGAGCCTGCCCATAATATAATCGACTTCACACTCCCCTGTTGGATTGCCTGCTGCATCGTGGATAGGAGGCCAGGAGGCGTCGGCTTCCAGGAGAACCAAGTCAGAGGGCGGGGGCGGTGGGGAGCTAGCTGCGGAACGTGGAAAACGTTTAGACATTCATAAGTAGAAGGTAAAGCGAGACAGTAAGCGATGGTGCCTATTCGTTCAGTGATTTCAAAGGGTCCTCGGTAACGGGGCTCGAACTTAGGGCAGCTGCTGAAAGGCGGTAAGTGCTCGCTACTGAGCCAGACCTTGTCTCCCACTGCATACTCCACGGCTCAGCGCTTTGTGTCTGCGTAGTACTTCTGCTGCCATTTTGCCTTCAGGATGTGACTCTGTGCTCTATCGCGGAGCTGCCGAAAAAGCTTAGTCATCGGAGGAGTGTGCGTAGGAGTTAGCGCACCTACGATATGAAGGTTCCCAGCAGTCAACGGATTCTCGCCAATCATGACCTCGAAGGGAGAGAGCTCGATGGAGGAATGACTTGATGTATTGTAGGCAAGTTCCAAGGCCGGAAGCAAACGCCCCCCCCCACTCGCGTTCGTCAGATTGGATGTAGGTACGAAGCATCTGCTCGAGTTTGCGGTTAACCCGTTCAGTTTGACTGTCGCTTTGGGGATGGTAGGACGAGGGCATGCACCGTTTGATGTTAAAATGGCTGCAGAGTTGTTGCCAGAGATCCGACTGAAAGCGGGGATCGCGGTCCGATATAAGCACCTCTAGAAAACAGTGATAGCGGATAAGATGGTCTGCAAGAAGCTCCGCGGTGTCTGCTGCTGTGAATGACTTATTTGCAGGAACGAAATGAGCCATCTTGCTGAGGGAGTCGACCATCACGAGAATCGAGTCGTGCCATGTCATTGTAAGTTGAAGATCTGTGATAAAGTCAAGACTCACGTGTGCCCACCGACAAGAAGGGGTGAGTAGCTGTTGAAGAAGGTCTGCAGGTTTCTGGTTAAGGGACTTTGACGCTCGACAGTGAGTGCATGATTCAACATAAGCAGGAGTGTAGGCGCGCATTCCTGGCCAGTAGAAGTGCTTGCTGAAAGCCGCAAAGGTCTTTTTCTGGCCTCAATGGCCGACTGTGACATGGTCGTGATGTGAATGCAGAACTTGAGTAAGGTCGTGATGTGAATGCAGAACGTGAGTAAGGAACCCAGGGAATTGTGGGACGCAGATGCGCCACAGTCCATGAACGCGGATGTGCAGGTAAGGCCGCACGTAGCGAAAGGTGAATTGGCGATTATGAAACTCTATTAGCCGAGCTTCTCCCGGTTGGTTTGCAGTGGCTTTGTAGGGAACGCGAAAAACGGGACACTTCGAGTAGGCTTGCGCCATTGGCGCATATCAGGAGGGTTAGCTGGTGTCTTCGTTGTAGGGGTAGGTTGTTCCGCCTCTGCATTGGGTTCCGGCGGCGAAGATGAAGGTGCGGACGGCAGGCTGCGTCGTCTGGGTCATCGCGAACGAATTTCGGCGAGCTCCCTGTAGTTGGCAGGGCGACCACGAGTGTGAGGAGCCGCGCGCGCTTGTGCTACTGCAAGCATCAGGGGTGTCGGTGGTGTGTCATGCGAGCAGGTGTTAGGAAGACCGAGACGGCGAGACAAGGCATCAGCCACTTGATTGCGCGCTCCTTGAACATAGGTGAAGTGCAAATCCGGGAACTCGGCCAGGAAGTCTAACCAGCGGGCGGTGCGTCCGCGCAGAGGCTTCGATGCTTGGAGTCGTTGGAGATGGGTGAGAGCTTGATGATCAGTGTAAGCCGTTACTTTGGAAAGACGGAGCAAGTGTGACCACTTGCCGAGGGCTGTGACCAACGCCAAGAGTTCCTGATCGTAGATCGAGTGTCTCTGTTGTGTACAGTTCATCACTTGGCTAAGGAAGCCGATGGACTTGCCGCCCTGTTCCAGAACTGCTCCGATCGCATAACCAAAGGCGTCCGTGTATAACTCGAAGGGTTTCGTGGTGTCAGGGACTTGTAATGTAGTGAAGTCCATTAAGTGCTGTTTGAGCTGCCGCACCGCTTGCATGTGAAGTTCTGTCCATTTGAAGCTAACGTCTTTACGCGTAAGATCAACTAGCGGCCGGGCAACGTCTGCATAGTCCGGTCCCATGAACATACGACAGTAATTTATGGTACCGAGAAACTGGCGCACCTGCGTCTCGTCCTCCCGCACCTCGGGCCAATGCCGTATGGCTTTGATTTTGTCTTCCGCAGGTTTGATCCCCGCAGCAGAAATGGTATAACCCAAATATGTAATTGATTGCCTTGCAAACTTGCATTTGCGGAATTTTGGGTAGAATTGATGCCTAAGAAAAATGTTTAGGAGTTGTCGCAGGAGGGAAACGCGCCCAGAGAGGGGAACTATAAATACGTACATCATCTAGGTACGCAATAACGCCCTGTCCTAGCTTGTAGATAGGCATTAATGCTGGCCTGGAATGTAGGGCATTACTCGGTACTCGAAGAGCCCGAGAACGCAACGGAAAGCCGTCTTCCAACGGTCTTCCTTAGCCATACGTATTTGATGGAATCCTGCTTCAAGGTCCAGGGTGGGAAAATACTTGGCGCCTCCCAGCATCTCCAGAATGGTTTGAATGGGAGGTTGTGGAAAATCAGGGGCTATCATAAGGGCATTTAGAGCCTCGTAATTAACAACCGTACGCATCTTTTGATTCCCGGAGCCATCATCACGCTTGTCTACCATGATCGTAGAAGAGCAAATAGACGAATAGGTTGGTCCGATCAAACCATTGTCCGATAATTTAGCTATCTCCTGTCTGTGGAATGTGAGCTGATCTGGGGTCATACGGTATACTGCAGATTTCGCTGGAAGTTTTCCAGGCACCAGTAGGATATGGTGTACGAGGGCGCGTTAGTGGTAATCCTTTAGGGCGCGTCGGTGGTAATCCTTTAGGTAAGTTATCGGGAAAGACCGCTCTATACTCCTGCAATGCCTGGGTAATCTCACATGGAATAGCCTGCGCCTCTGTCGAATTTATCCATTCATCGAACAGAGTGTGCTCGAGTCTTGCCATTATCCAGGGAGACTCCTCTTCACCCTCCGCTGCCGTCAAGGCGGTGGAGGCAAAAGGACTACCCCAGCTGGAGGACGTGCGTTGATTCCCAATTAACGCGCAGCGAAGCGCGCCTTGCCATTCATCCGAGAACCTTAGGGTTACCGCCGGACGGGCTTCGTGCAAAGCGAATTTGAGATGCAAACCGTGCAATGGTGCCCTGAGACTCTTTGTGTCAACCGCCGCCTGACGAACGATCGACGTTATCCGTGCCTTCGCCTTAGTCTTCGCATGGGTCTTCTACCTTTTAGGTGGCTGGCGTAGGAATATAGCTGCCTCCTCGGCCGACATACCCGCCACTTGTTTGGCCAATATCTCATATGCTTGCTCTGCCGGGGCCTTTGGGTGGACTACGGTGGGATTTTCACCTTGCAGCTTTGCTTCACCAGTCCTAACGACCGGCAACTCGCACCGCTGGCCATTCATATAGGTTCGGTGCTTGTCAGACTGGAAATACCAGGCCGCCTTATGTTCCGTCAGTCAATCCAAACCCAAGATTAAGTCATAGGGAACGGTTCCCACTAAGAAGTCTCCGGAAAAGCATGCATATCCGCACCACATGGTCAGTCCCATCACCACCCGATCAATGCGTAATTGTTCACCTCTAGCAACGGTGAACCTATGCTCTTCTGGAAGTCTCCGCACCTTCAGCTGCAGCCGTTCGACTGTTTTGGGACTAGTGAAACTTCTCGTTGCTCCAGTATACAAGAGGGCCTCACATGGACTCCCTGCGAGCACCGCCGTCGCACCCACATAGCACAATGCTCTCCCTTGGTCGTAAGGCTATTTCGTGCAAGTTTCCCGCCACCACTGTGGCGGAATCTCTGTTGCGTCTGGCCTGTAGCCGTCTTCTATTGCCTCTGCAGACTTCCTGCTGCTATCCGTCGTCGCTCCCGGAGCCTCTTCGCTCGGGATCGACGCCGACTAAGACTCCCACCGCGTTTCCGAGAACGGCTGAGTCCCTTCCGCGTACCTATCGCTCGTATTAGTTCCTTCCTCAGTGCTGAGAAGTTGGATTCCCCACTCAAGGGAGACTGGAATCGCATTGGGGATTGTCGCTACCGCAACATTATCACTTTGCCATGGCTACGCGGCCTAGAACGCTCGTCTCCAACCACGCCTAGGCCCCCTTCTTTAATCGTTCCGTCTTCTCAGTGTTAGGATGCGTGGGCTGCCTACTGCTCTTCTCCTCCAGCTCGGTCCGGCCTCGTTCGTACGTAGGACAGTCCCGAGCATAGGCTGCCTACTGCTCTTCTCCTCCAGCTCGGTCCGGCCTCGTTCGTACGTAGGACAGTCCCGAGCATAGTGTCCCACACCGCCACACTTCTTGCATATTCCCCCCGGATGTTTGGTACGTTATCCCTTGCTGGGGCAAACACGTGCCAGATGTCCGCGACCCTGACACTCGTAGCAGTTCGCGTGGGTTTCCCCAGGTCGATTTTCGATTTCCTGGCGCCGACGGGGTCCATTAGCTTGGATAGTAGCCGTGATGTCTCGACTGGTCCTTTCTCGGCGCTCCAGCACGCCCTGCTTGGGCTCCTATAGGCGTGCTGCGGCTGTCGTCTCTTGTTCCCACGACTGATTCTTCACCTGCCCGTTATTGCTAATTAGAAGATGGAGGTCCGTCGGTAGCCCGGCGCAGTAGTAGTCAGCGAGTTCGTAGGGGGCGACACCCAAGCCACGCTCCGCTACAGCCGCAGACCGGTCAGTGTATTCCTTCGGGTTACCATTCCACCGTACTTTGGCCAACTCTGTTAACACTGCGACATTGTTTTGTCGAACCGCTCCAAAGGCCTGCGCTGTCCCGTCACCCAGTCGCTTATGTCGATAGTTCGCCGTAGATACATCCAATACGTTAGAGCCGGGCCCACAAGGTAGTCAGTAACTGCGCTTCCCCACTCGCGCAGCTCTAATCCCATCTGGGTGTGCCGGCGCTCGATGCGTAGCAAAAAGGCCTGAATAGTGCTGCCGTCTTCTGGTAATATGGGAAACGTTCAGCCCGATTCCCTTGTCCCGCCTATAACAGTTTTTATCACACTCATGGCGGACTGGAATTGGTCCCACGTGACGAAGGGACTGTACCCTGGAATAACATCGGTCATAGGAATCACCTGTGGGGACGCTTCCTTATGCCCATGCGGCCGCTCTGCCACGGTGGGCTTCGGAGTAGCATGACGACGATGGGCCGGTGTCCCGCTCGGCACTTTGGTTACTCGCATTGTACAAGTCTCCTGCTGTGTGGGGCCGATAACGCCTCCGTTGCGGAGATGCATCCCTTATCGAGCCAAGATATCTAGATGTGAATCATTAAAACGTAGTATTTCTATTCCCAAGTCCGGAAAGAAAAAAGATTCCTTCCCGGAACAGCCCCTAAATGTAGTGCACAGCACCTACTGCTGCGACTACGCTGCTACCTGCCCCCTCGAGTAGGGGCCTACGATAACCGTCTACCTTCAGCGCATTTCCTTGAAACAGTAATCCAAATATCACGGAATAACATTTATTCATAGTTTTTCAAAATCTGTTCTCCTGAAGGTCCCCCCCTCTCGGGGTTTTCGCCTCGGGCCCTGTGGGGAGGAGGCCTGCACCGGTGCCGGCGCTATCGCCAGCTCCAATCTCCGGGTATTTACAGACACGTTTAGTGTATACATACTAATTCGCCGACAAATTAGCTTACATCGACCCTAGTAAGAGGGTCCTGTCCTCGTTCCGTGTTATGACCTCTTGTAGGTCACCAGCTAGCTATCTTCCACAGGCTACCACCAAGGCCTATTGTAGTGCCTGTGCACTACATAGCTAGCAGCGTAGTCGCAGCAGTAGGTGCTGCGCACTACAGCTATGAAGTAAAAGGAGTTTTAGGACAAGAGCCTAATAAAAATGTGCACGACATGAAGGCGTGTTCCTCTGCCAACAACGCGTTTCTTGGGCATATTTTCACCCCAAATTTCGCCATTTCGTGCTATGAATTCGTTCAAAAACATGTGAGTACATCTGTAAATGCTTAAGTAGTAGTAATTATTGGACCATGATGTTAGAACTGTACTTATCCGTCGATGCACGCAAGTAGCTATAGCGTACTTGGTTCGGGAACTCACCGAAATCAGATTTCAGTGCTTAGCACAGGGTGCCATTGCATCATTCGCTTTATGGCTTCCTCAAGCGCCTCGCCTACAGAAAGTACAATCAACCTGTCAGGGCCACATTCTTTGGCCACGGCGCCAGCAGCTCTTATTTGCATTCCACTGCTGCGCAATGTTTTTCAGTAAATAGTGTTCACGTATTTTTTCCGTTTTCAACCAAATCCTGGACACAGTCAGAAGCGTCTGCCAGGTAAATCGTGACGGCTTCAGACGCGATCATTCATATCACGGTTCAGCTGGCAGACACAGTCAGAAGCGTCTGCCAGATGAATCGCGAGATGAATGATCGCGTTTGAAGCCGTCTGATATGGATAATTGAAATATGCAGAGTTGTGGACGCAGCGCTTAACCAGACTGCCGCTAGCAACTAGATGCCAGCAAGTGTATTGAGAAGCAGCGTCTCATCATTGGAACACGGTGCAGGAAGAATACCACAGGGTTCAATCTCCTAACAGTAGAGGAACCGCCAGAGGCGTCAACAACGCAGACACGAAGTGCCCCGAAACTCACAAAAATGATGCCAGCGAAAATGGATGGGATTTGGCACGCAGAAGTTTAAAACTTTAGCTCTGTGATACGGTGTGGTGGAACAAACAAGAACGGAAGTGGCTCCTGTAAAACGACATCGCACTTTAACGATATTAGAGGACATTATGGCAGCTTATCGAAAGCACTCCAAGTCAACAGCACAACTGAACTTCTTCATAAAGACGCAGTAACACCCTTGTATGCACGCCGGCGCCTCTGGGTGTTATGCGTTTCTTCAAGTCAATTCGATCCGGCATCGATGCTCAGACCCCACTACCAAAGTAAATTTGAATCTAGCTAGCATTCCTGCTAGTACACCATTGACTGAATTATGTTTTTTCCCTTTGGCTTGTTCTTCTTGGCACTAC